TGCAAAATGCCCAATGAAAACTAGTCAGATTGTACAAAACATTTTACGCGGGATTGGTATAACTAACCTAGATTTATCCAGCGACATTTCTTAAACTTCTCTTTCATAATTTGGAAATAATGGCACAAAAAGTGATATTTTTGTTAAATAGAGTATGGTTGAGTATGATTATTATAAAGATCTAAATTCATTTTATTCTAAAAGAAAGCAAAGTTCCACAATGAAGCAGTCCTGATTACAGTTGAGGGTTGGAACCTTTGGTGTTACACAGCAAAATAAAAACACTAAATCGCCACAATACACCAAAACACTTTTACTTTTACACTGGACGCGCGTTTCGCTAACCATGTTAGCATCATCAGCAGATGATTATAAACTAAAGTACAATCTACAAGTTGAGCATTTATATACTCACCCAGTGGGCACCGAGTGGGCGTGGCAAAATCTAGCCAACCGAGTCAGAGCCAACTGAGCGTAACAGTTAGATTTCCGCCACTAGAGTAGTAGGAACAAAGAACTTGAAGGAATTGGACCGTTGTCTCTGTTCATACTATCTTTACATTTATTAATTCTGATGCTTTCATATGCATCTAATTGCCTGTAATTTGAGACTTACTTAATTAATTTTAAATTATTAAGATCTATACAATGTTCTTTATCAACAATATGTTCGGCAACGCAAGATTTATCCGGTCTACCATATCTTATCTGAGCTAAATGTTCTTTAAATCTAGTTAATATTGATCTTCTAGTTTGCCCAACATATTTCTGATTACAATCTTTACAAGAAATTTCATAAATACTCGACCTTTCCAGTGGAGGTGTTTTAAGTGTGTAATACTTAATAATTAAAATTTATGAAATAGGATTAAAGTTATTTTCATCTAAACATAATAAAATTTTGACATAAATAATTATTGTTTTTGTATAGGAAAATGACATATTTTTATTAAAGCGTAAATTATTCAGTATGCTTATGCTCATAGCTGACTAAACTTTGATTATTTTTTTAATCCGCCTGGCCTCGATTCTCGATTTCGCATTTTTGTCTTTTTGCAGAAGAAATGTACAGAAAATATCATCATTGAAAAATGTATAATCAGGGACGGATTAAGACAAGGGATCCACTATCCCCAGTACTGTTTACTGCTTATTCTTGGCAGATGATTTAGTTATCTTAGCAGGAGATGGGAAAGAGCTGAAAAAATACTGAGGAAGATTTTTGGAGGAAAAAAGATATGGACCAGAAGAACAAATGAAGAATTAAAGCAACTATATCGGGCAACTATAAGAGCACAAAGACTGAGATGGCTGGGACACATTGAAAGAATGGCTGAAGCAAGAATTCCTAGTGTGATGAATGATAGTGAATGAAACGTGAAATAAGTGGAAAGAGAAGGAGAGGTAGACCGAGAACCAGATAAAAAAAGATGTTAAAGAGGACTTGAGAAGGATAAGAGTGGATGGGTGGAGAATAAAGGCGAAAGACAGAAACAAATGGAGAAAGATAACCAATCAAACCATGAACCTTTTAAGCTTTTAGAGCTATTATATATAAAAATGTGAAAACGAAAACAGAGGTGTGTGGACGGCTTTAGGGATGCGGAACGAACGAGCTGAAACGTTAAACAACTGGTAGAGAACGAGAGAACGACGGACATGCTTTTCAATGAACTGGCTCAAACTGGCATCTTCCCGATTATCCCCGATGAGAGCAACGGGAATAAAAAAATCAGGGATAAAAAAAGATCGGAAGGTCAGGAAAAAAGGAAAAAAAGACGAAAAATGGCAAAGGTCAATGGGAAGCGTTATTCTTTCCGGTTTGGACTCGAATTAGAAGCTTATAGAGGTATGAAATACTTCTTTGTTTATACAAAGAGTGTCTCTTAAATAATATTTCAAGGTATTATACCTATGACATTCCATAGGTATAATATAGTTAGAATACTTTTACAAAAAATTAAATTTTTTATTTGAATTTTTAATGAAATAAACGTACTATATCGACAATATTAGTATTTGTACTCTTTGAAAATTCGTTACATCTTTAAAAATAATCTAAAATGTCAATATACCATGGGTATATAAATAAATGAGGTCTAAATTATAAGAAAATGCATTTTCTTGAAAACTTGAAGAGATACGTAAAAAACGGTATATTACAATTTGATAGACAATTAAATTGTGTCTGATCTGATTCAGAAAATATACAGTATGTTCCATTTAAATTAAAACAAGTTATTGTCCCGTTTAAAAGCTAGTAATTATCTAACATAAATTTTTAGGCACTCTGTATAAGATAGTATTATTTTTATTATTGCCACATAAAATTTAGTAAATAGAAAAACTTCAGTGCAATTATTTGGTTTTAAAATACTTAAATACGCCTAGAGAAATAAAGCATTAAAATTGTTACTGCATTTTCACAAAATCGTAAATATTTCAAAAACGGCAAGATAAAAGTCAGGTAAACCATAATCAAATTTAACTTTATTTTAATTGAAGAAACTAAAAATGTAATGATATACAGGGTGTTACGTTTTAAAAAATACAACTTTGATATTTTTTATTTATTTGAGACACTCTGTACCTTTTAAAAATAATTTTAAATTGTAGCATTAGTTGTCCTTCAACGATATCATCACTTCCAATTTCTAAAAATCTAATCTACAATACTTCGTGTCGAATGAGGTGAATAAACATATATATAAGAACTAAATATAATACAGAAAATTAAAAATACCATTTTTTAATGAGCTGTTTTCTCAAAATAGGAAACAAATTTAATTCCTTGGTTAAAAACTCGTCACAAACCGAAGCATTAATTCGAAAAAAAAACACAAAAAGAACAAAAATTAAAACGTCTTCCTGTACACAGCCAGCATCTCCCCAACCCTTATTAATCACCCTCCACCCCCCAACAACCATCACCTTGGCACCCTATTGGCGGAGACACCTGCCGAATCTGCAAACGTCAATTTAAGAGCATCGAGGGTGAGACCAGACGATTATTTAATCAAAGATCGAAAAGGGGGTGCCAAAAAATGGGGAAAGGGTGGAAAAACATCCCCCAGGCTGCCACAGCGCGTCCTACCCCACTTGGACCGCCATTGGGGTGCCCGGGGTGGTACAAGAAAATATGGAAGTAAAATGATGGAGTTGGAATATGGAGGGTGGCTGGGAAAATGGAAGAAGATTTCTTGATGGCAAAAGTTTGATGTATAAATAAAATACATTAGTAGAAAAAAAAAACAATAAAAATATGATGCTTTTTAAAAGTGCTCGATTGCGATTTAATTGTCATAAAAAAATACAAACAATATGATGCATATTTGTCATATTATTTTCATTTTTATGATTTAGTGTCAGTAGATCTTTATTATTTGAAAAAATAGGGTGGCTGTGATATGCCTGAAGTTACTTCAACACAAGCTGTCAAATTAGTTCAACTTTAACAACTAGTTATCATTTTGTGTCAGTTAAAACAAAAAAAATTCTCGGAAATTTTACAAAAATGGAAACTTATCCTATAAGGGAAAATCAATATGATTCTATTAATTGGTGACTGCAGTGTGCATTCACTAATTAATAAATACTAATGAACGGTCAATAATTTTGATCAAACGATTAAATGAAGCATGATTGACCGTCTAGAAACACGTTTGACGATTGACTAAATCATTGATGGTCATTGATGAAAACTTTGATTTACGCCAATGATTGAAGAGGGCGCTTGACCGTGTAGGAGCGTTTTAATCAATCTTTCCGTCAGTCAGGGGTACCTATTCTTGACCACTCGCATCTTCAAATATCGCTCGCATCTCCGAAAAAGCCATATAACAATACACGTGATGCGTATACGCAAAGTTGCGAACGATGTCAAGAATAGGTACCCTCTGGCGCCTGGCAGCAATCATGGAGGACTCTTCGCACGCCGACAACACTGAAACGAATTCGGAACGTGAGTTTACAAGCTTGTTAATAGATTTGTATCGAGATTCACCAGAACTGTGGAAAGTTAAAAGCGAGGACTACTTTAATAGAAATAAAAAAAGCGCGGCGTTGGAAAAAATTGTGGGAATTTTAAAAGCGTTAAAACCGGACTACACTGTTAACAAACTAAAACGAAAAATTAATACTTTAAGAACTAATTTTAACAGGGATTTTACAAAAACAGGAACACATCGGGAACAGTACCTTAAAAACGAAAACTCTGTTGGGAATGCTTTTTAATCCAAAAATTCATTGATTCAATCGATTGACTCAATCATTTTATCAAACGATTAAAAAAAACCGTCTAGGGCCTTCTTTAAAGACAGTGTTTACAAAACTCGACCAACTATTGTCGACAACATGCGAGAAATGGTTGTGGCTGCTTTTTGAAGTAGAATTCCAAATATGCCTCTTATAATAATTTTTTCGAAATTTCGGATAAACGATAAGGACTAGAAAAAAAAGTCCAAATGAAAGTTGCAGAGCGTCTCATTTTACATAAAAATGGTCTCTATACTGTTTTTACTCAAGTCAAAATTTCCCGAGATAGGGTGGCTAGAAGGTAGTGACAGCTTTTTTTGAAAAACTTATTTCAAAGTCCTTACAGTTTCTCTGAAATTTAAAAAAACACACTTTATTTATATTTTTCACCCCTTCATTAAAAACATCTTTCACAATTTGTTTTTAGATCTGTCAAAGTAACTTATATCAAAAGTTTCTTAAACATTATTAAAAACTTTGTATTTAAAGGCCTATTTTCTTGAATTAATCGATCTCCCCTAAAAAATATACATACTTTTCTACTACATAAATTTCACTCATACAATCTTACTGAAAAATATTTATGTATCTCTTCACAAAGCATGTCATTAGTTGCGATTTCTCTAGTCAATCGAATATAAAAAAAAAATCGTAGAAAATTCGTAAAATGACTGACAGACGCATAAAACACATAAATAAAAAGTAAATGAGTAATATTAACATCGGGAGACAGATAGATCACTTACCTACTTTTCAGCTTCGGAAAATGTAGGCCCTGTCAAGCGACTCGTCTGCAAATGACAGAAACGATAATTAGATCGACATTGTTAACAAGGAAAATTGCCTACTTTTACTCGTCACCCTATTACCAGTGGCGAATTGAAGTATATAGGCATAAGAGGATAAAAATTAATAAGGAGACATATCTATTTTTAAAAAACACAGGCTAAAACGCAAACACCGTATGATCGAAAAAAAAAACGGCGTCAAAGATAGCTGGGGAATGACAATAGATGTTAATTTTGACGAGGTCAATCTCTAGACGTCATTTACTAAAAATTGGCGTTAAAAAACTCTTAAACACGTATATTTTATTTTGTTGTTTTACATATTTTAAGATTTTTAAAAATTTATACAGGGTGTTTCATAAAACATGACCATTGAGTAATCACGATTCTGCTTAAACTGCTTGACGTTTAAAGCTGATTTTTGACAAACGGATTGACTGTGGGGTGTAGAGGTTCGATAAGAAGGGGTTTTTCCAAGAGGGTGAAAACGCCCCTCAAATATTACAATATTTGTTATTTAAAAAACGGTTAGTCTTTCGGGAAAACGCTTGGACACGCATAATTTATTTTGTTTTTTTACATATTTTGAATTTTTTTTTAAAATTATACAGGGTGTTCCAAAAACTTGGGTAATTGATTAACCACGAGTCTGCTTAAACTGCTTGACGTAAAAAGCTTATTTTTGGCAAACGGATTTTTTGAAAGTCAAATTCCAATGAGATGAAACTACCCCTAAAATGTTACCAAGTTATATAATAATATCGCCATATTGTTTTTTCTCATGCTGACATGAATGTGAGAAAATTTTATCCAGTTTGTATGTTAATGGAAATTCTTGCTTTGCTTTATCATCACCATTACAAATGATTAATTTGACGCGAACGAAGTCGCTGGTACACGCTAGTAATAAATAAAACCTGAGCTTTCTCAACTCTTCAGATATAAGGAGTTATTCGTTAACGCATAGTATTTTAATCACGAAAACGTTTGTTGAACATCATCCTAACCCTAGAATTACACATAGCTAAACCTATTACGCAGCCCTTCAAATCAAATTTTCCCTAATCGAATAAAAAGTGCATCAGGCGTAAACCTCAATCTCTCTCCAGAGCAAATCGAGTGGATTCTTCAAATTCACCGCCTGGATCGACCACAAACCGCAAAGTACGTAGAAATGGGACGGGATTGTTATTTACAGGGAGTGAAAAATAACCTAGAAATAAAATAACACCGGTATGATGGTGGAAGGGTGGCACAGTTGCCTCCAGGGGGTGGACAATTTCAATTTCGCACCCCTGAGCCCTCTAAAGTGACCCGGGAGGTGTTAATCTTGTTTCTATCATGTTGTAGATAGTCGTTCTTGTACAGGGTGAGTCTTAAATTACTGCAAATATTTTTAGGGGTAGTATATTTCGATATATTCTTCTATTCTTATACAGGGTGGTACGAACTGTATTCCGGAAACCTGGCAGCATATTCTGCAGATAAAAATAAGTAAAAAATTTCATATAAATATATGTCCTAAAATGCTAAGTTTCGGAGATACAGGGTGTAGAAGTTTCATTTTTATTTCGATTTTTTCCAAATCATTTCTGAAGTGATGTCAATATTTGATTTTGATGCCAATATGACTCCTATTTGTAGAGAGCGCCACCTACATGTGTTTTAACTGTTTTGAAGAGTAACAATTTTTCGTCCGTACCTGTATAAAACAAAATATACATTTCCGTGATTTTTTCCGTAAAAAATACCTCTCTCTTGGCAAAATTCGCTACGAGCAACCGTTAATTCTCAATATATTTAGAGTGGGAATAGTCAATAGGGGAAGTGCGGGTATTACCGCCCAACGGATAATACCGCCCATCTCTATAAAACTGTTAATATTGCACATAACTTATAAATTTGGCAACGATGGAGCCATTTGATATTGCCCCGCGTCGCAGAAAACGGAACGCACGTTTGGATTCACTTTCAGTGCTTCTACAGATAGCAATGTGATAGAGTGTGTCGCCAGTCTAATTTTTTTTTGCCGGAAAATAAGCCGTAAGTACCATGCTTTTTTATAAAATCGAATTAATTTTGGACCGTTATGCTACTTAATGATTCTTATATCCAACTGTGCGTCGTTTTTATTGATATCTTAAACGATCGTCGTAGAAAAAAAATTGTAAACAAAATGGCGATGTTGGGTAATACCGCTCACCAGTAGGCGGTATTACCTTCAATAATTTTAGTTGGGCGATATTACCCGCCTATTTTTAGTTAGTAAATTATAGTTTCAGATATGCCAAAAACAAAAAATTGTCGCCAAAATGCAGTCTGGGCCACTGAAACACTCCAGGCCGCTATGCAAGCAGTTAGAGATGGAAAAGGGAAAAGGAAGAGTGCTAGAGAATTTGGTATGAATATTTAAAAAAAATACTCATATTCAACGTTCTAACAATTTTAATTTTATTTTCAGGAATCCCCTATTCTACTTTAAAAGATCGCCTTAAAACAAATAATCCTTCTGCACCTCAACTTAGCCGTCATTGTACATTTTCACCTGATCAAGAAACACGACTAGAAGAGCGATGCATTTACCTAACAAAGATGTTTTATGGCCTTACAGCCATGGATTTACGAAGAATTGTGTACGATTTTGCCCAAAAAAACAATATACCGCATTGCTTCAACTACGAAAAGAAAATGGCGGGTAAAGACTGGTTGCAATCGTTTTTAAGGCGCCATCCACGCTTGACCATGAGGAAACCTGAACCAACCAGCTTAGGGAGAATTTCCGGTTTTAATGCAGACAGCGTTAGCCTTTCCTTCGCAAATTTGGATGAGGTTTTAAAAAAAATATAATTTCCCACCAAATCGTATATTTAATGTCGATGAAACGGGTGTCACGACCGTTCAAGTGCCTTCCAAAATAATTTCTCCAAAAGGTATAAAACAACTTGGTAAGGCTGTAAGTTGGGAAAGAGGTCGAAACATCACCGTGTGCTGCTCAATAAGTGCTTCAGGGATATATATACCCCCGATGTTTATATACCCGAGAGCTCGAATGACCGATCTTCTTAAACGGAATGGACCTGTAGGCGCTATATACGAATGTTCTACCAAAGGCTGGATGAACGAAGAGCTATTTCTAACATGGGTAAAGCATTTTAAAAAACATTCTGCAGCGTCTAAAGAAAATCCAGTTTTGCTCTTGTTAGATAACCACAGTAGCCATTGCTCTCTAGCGACTTATGAATTTTGTCGTGAAAATGGGATAATTATGTTATCCTTCCCACCCCATACGTCCCATAAACTGCAGCCTCTTGACTTAACAGTTTTTGGGCGATTAAAATCTGCTTACTCGAATGAATGCTCACTTTTTATGAGACAAAACATACATCAAAAAATAACACCATATGATGTAGCTGAGATTTTTAATCGTGCTTTCATCCATGTTGCTACTATTGAAAAAGTTCAGAAGGGGTTCGAAGTTAGTGGGATTGTACCATATAGGCCAAATGTGTTTACAGATGAAGATTTTTTGCCCGCAACCCTTTCTCAAATACCAGTAACAGCTCAACGTGAACCTGACGCACATGAATCTCAACCCTCTACCTCTGATGGTAACGCGGAACGTCAACCCTGTGCCTCACGTGAAGTTGAGCCTCAACCCTCTACCTCTCGAAGAGCTGATCGTCAGCCCTCTATATCTCAAGGAACTGAATCTCAAGCCTCTACCTCACTATTAAATACTGATAAGCATCCGAGTAAAGTAAAAACCAATATATCGATTGAAGAAATAACAGCCCTCCGCAGAGTTGAAAAAAGGACTAAACAGAAGGGCAAGAAAATTAGGAATATCAAAAATCCTCACAGCCACTCCAGAGAAAACTGAGCTGGAAAAAAAAGAAGAAAGAAAGTTACAGAAAAAGAAAGGGAAAGTCCCGCTGCCGGTCAAGAGAGTAACAAAAAACGTTAAGTTTGATGATGATACTTCCAGTGCATCCTCTTGCAATGAAAGTGAACTAACTCTGCGATGATAAAAGCTCCGACAATCCTGACGATGGTGGAATGGAAGATGAAATATGTATGCTTTGTGGTGAATTCGGCAAATCAGAAATGTGGTATAGGTGTGGTATTTGCCACAAGTGGGCACACAAAGAGTGCACTGGTTTCGATGACTACAGAAAGTTTGTTTGCGATTTTTGTTCTTTAAGTACCTATAAGTAAAGAAAATATTTTTGATATGGACAGGTAGTTGTTTTTTCGCAGATGCACCATGTATAACTAAACTGTTTTTAACATTCCACTTAATAAAAAAAGAATATTTTTGCATTTTTGAATTATGTGTTTTTTGATTTATTGTTGCAAGACAAGTAATGTTATTATACAAAACGTATTTTTACGCTGTTTCTTTTAGTGGGCGGCATTACCCTTATAGGTGAGCGGTATTACCCGTATGTTCGGCTAATTTCACCCAAAGGCAATACTTTGAAAATCAAAAATATTTTACACTTAATAATCTATCGGAATAATCTGACAATAAAACATCAATAGCAAAGAAAAGTATTAAATATTGACGTCCTCGTTTTCATTATATCATCAAAAATAACTTAATTGTTTAACATATTGCTTAAGTGGGCGGCAATACCCGCACTTCCCCTATATGTCATTATATTGACAGAAAATAAACATTTTGAGTAAATAGTTATTTGACTGAAATGATAAATTTGGGCACTTTTCATTTTTTTAAATTAATCATAAATTTTTCTTCGCAAAAACGATGATAAAACAGTTTCTGTTGAACTTTTGGCACAAAAACATTTCAAATTTATGATTTCAGTTTAATAACTATTTAGTCAACATGTTTAATTTATGTAAATGATGACAGATATTAATATTTTGATTCCAAATATCTCGGGAACCATTATTACTCGTAGCGATTTTTACCAAGAGACCTTTTTTACGTAGAAAACATTGTGAATGTATATTTTTTTACTGAGTAGTTTTATACAGGTACGAACGAAAAGTTATTAATCTTCAAACCAGTTAAAAAATATGTATAGGTGGCGCCCTCTACAAGTAGGAATCATATTCACTTCAAAATCAAATTTCTCATGTCAAAAATCTCCCAGACACTAATTTTCATCCAAATATGGACGTTACTTCAAAAATTATTTGGAAAAAATCGAAATAAAAATGAAACTTCTACACCCTGTATCTCCGAAACTAAGCATTTTAGGACATAAAAAACTTCGTATAAATGCGAATTTTTACTTATTTTTATCTGGAGAATATGCTGTCAAAATTTCCGGAATACAATTCGGACCACCCTGTATATTACAGTATAAATATATTCTTCTATTTCGAGTTTTATATAATTTTTTGTTACTCTCCTAATATATTCTACTTAATTCTTTTTGTATAAATTTGTTTAAATTTTTTAACTTCATTTTTTCTATTACCTTATTTTCTATTCTTAGATTATTCTTTAGATACTCTTAGATTATTCCTTAACTTTATTTTGTATTTTCTATTATGTAAGTGTGACTGTAGTATAATATGTAATTCTTAGATGTTATATCTTAGCTTATCAATTGTTCCTGTGTTTATTATATGTCTAATAAATGGGTAGTTATACCTGTTAGACTGTATGCTAAATAAATAAATAAATAAAATAAATAAACAAATAAATTATTATACTATAACAAGTCTATCTGGTATTAAAAGTATTTTTGACATGTGAATTGCAAAGTAATCGGTGATATAAGCTTTACTTTTCAAATTTCTTTTTATTCTTAATTTATTTATTTTTTACAACTGCAAACCTTATAGGACTTTATAATATAGCTAGTGTGTACCCACGACTTCGTTCGCGTCGAATTATCGTGATTACTCAACGGCCATATTTTATGAAATACCCTGTACAAATTTTTAAAAAATCTTAAAATATGTAAAACAACACAATAAAATATACGTGTTTAAGAGTTTTTTTTTTCGAAAAACTCTCCGGTTTTTAAATAAAAAATATTTTAATATTTGAGGGATGGTTTCACCCCCTTAGAATTCGAGTTTCGAAAAATCCCTTCTTATCGAACCTCTACACCGTAAAGTCAATCTGTTTTCTAAAAATCAGCTTTTTACGTCAAGCGCTTTAAGCAGGATCGTGATTAATCAATGACCAGATTTTTCGAAACACCCCGTATACATTTTCAAAAAATCTTAAAAATATACGTGTTTAAGCGTTTTTTCGGAAACTTGACCGTTTTTTAAATAAAAAATATTGTAATATTTGAGGGGTGGTTTCACCCCCTTGGAACTGGAATTTCGAAAAATCCCTTCTTATCGAACCTCTACACCCTAGAATCAACCTTTATGCCAAAATTGAGCTTTTTACGTTGAGTGGTTTGAGCGGGATCGTGATTAATCAGTGAGTCAGTCACTAGGATTTTATATATTAGTATAGATGACGAATTTTTTGAAAGGAATCATAAGTGGTATGGGTTATTACCAATGAAGTAAATGTTGTAAAGGAGGAGTAAGGAGGTTTAAAAATTGGCTCTGTGGGTGGTAAAGTTTCATCGGGGGACATTGTTTTCCAACGACCATAATAAATTGGGGTAGCTAAAGCAAATAAAGGGGAGGCAAATATTCCAGATCAATAATTTAGAAGCAGCTCCCTTCGAGCCCCGATGGCCTGCGTCTCTCCCATATGTACCAAACGAAATTACTGGGTCGCCCCCGTGTGTGTAGATACGATTGCGTGAGTGTGTGTGTTTTTATTTTATTTTTTTGATTATTATCGCTCTGACCAGTTTCTGCGTTGCCAGCTTTTTCACCCCCTCGAGAATTTGTTCGGTATCAATGTTGTATGACTCAATTATACTCGCCAGGGTTTTCGTTTTTATTTTTAATGATTTTTTTTCGAAAAGTTTGAACAAAAATGACCCATATTAACGTTAAAGCTAGGATTGCCAACTTTCAAAATAAAAAAAAAATAGAGGACGAGGGGGTAAAAAAGAGACACAGGCGAAACATTTTTTGAAACCTCGGCCAAATATATGCGATTGATTGTTTATCTAACTTTCTTAAATATATTTATACTCAAAACTTGTTAAAGTAAAACAAACCATTTTCACCAAAACTTTTTTCGAAACATAAGCTAGTAGTAAGTAAACATAAAATAGTTAAACATCTCTCCAAAAAATCCTATATGAGTATTTCGCCACGGTAAGAAAATCTACAAAATAGTTATTTTTAGTTAACACTTCTGCGTTAATTCAAACGGAAACTACTTGTCAAAAGTTAGGTTTACAGATATACAAATTTGCCTAACGAACAAAAAAAGGCTTAACGTTTCGGAAAGTTTATCTATTTTCGTCGTCGGAAGCAAAAAAAAATACAAAGAATAAAGAAAAAAACTATTTAAAATATTTAAATTCAACTATTCGAGAACACTTTATTTTTTTTAAACAGATACGTCTACAAAAACCGTTACCGTTCTGTTAAAATCACATTATATCAAGTTAAACTTCAAATTTAACAATTACTACCTGATAACAATTACTTAATAAGGTAAAACCAAAAAGCCCCAAACTTTCTGTATGATTATTTTTAAATTTTTCGTATGTTATGTTTATTTATGTTATGTTCTTTAAAATCAAAGAAGCGATTGCCATACATTACTAACATCTACAGATGCATGAGCAATACATTTATTTTTATTAGATTGTATTAAAAAAACCTCTTTTATTTTTCTTTTAGTGGCTATCGCTTCTTTCATTATAATTTTGGCGTTGTTAAAATCTATTCTTTGCCCTGTGTTCCATGAATTATGACAAATCTTAGATTTGTGAAAATCTCCCTTTCTTAAATAATCTTTATGTTCTTTAATTCGAACATTTAAGGGTCTAGATGTTTTACCAATGTAAAATTTATCGCATTCGCATGGTATTTTGTATATTACATTTTTTGTTTGTTGTTTTGTATTCATTGGTTTAGTGTGTGATAAAATGGATCTGTGTATTTTGTGTTTTGAAAGATGTTCTATGTTATATTGTTTTCCTATCCTTATTTTTTCCGAAACGCCTCGTATGTATGGAATTGTAAGTTGTATACGTGTATGTATTGTTATCATTGTGTCTATGATTTGGGGTTTGTATTTCGTTTAATGTTTTTTTCAATATAATATGGTGGATAGTCGTTTTTTATTAATGTATTTTTTATGTGGTTTATATCTCTGCGTTTAGTGAAATGTCGTCTGAACATATTATTTTTGCCCAATCATATAAACTTTTTATAACACCTTTTTTTACACTTATACTGTGATTAGATGTGAAATTTAAGTATCTCTCTGTATTTGTGGGTTTTCTGTAAACCTCTAAAATTAGTTTATTTTGAAACTTTGACAACAAAACATCAAGAAATGGCAAACGATTACCTCTCTCTACTTCTAAAGTAAATTTTATTTTATATAATCCAAAAAAATGTCTATTTCAGAAACGTTATGTTGCCATATTGCAAAAATATCATCAACATAACGCAGCCATATTTCAGGCTTTTTTGAAAAACTATTTATTGTATTATTTTCAAAATCTTCCATAAAAATATGACTTAACAAAGGAGAGAGAGGTGATCCCATTGCCATACCGAAATCTTGTTGAAAAAATTCATTATTTAATTGAGAATAAGTAGTTTTAGCATAAAGTGTCAACAATTCCAAAATACTATCTATGTTTAATTTTGTTCTATCCATTAAATGTTGATCTTGTTCTAATCTATCCCCTAACTATTTTAAGTGATTTATCTACCGGCACATTAGTGAAAAGACTAATAACGTCAAAACTAACCATTAAACTGTTTAGGTGTTTATATTAATTTTTTTAAATTTTTCCTGGCCTTTGTCAAAGCCCCGAAACTGTATAATGAATTATAACTCAAGAAAGGGGGACACAAAATATTTTTAATCTCTCAATCCTCCACCAATGTTTTTTATTTTATTTTTTTTAATATTCGATTATCGACTGGTCCCTAAAATACCGAAAATAAAAAGAAGAAAGAGCGACGCCAGGCGTCTAAAAGCACCGCGACGCCTCTCCACTAATTATCGACGAGTAGATTCCGCTGTATCGACAGCAAATTTATGGGCATTTTCTAGCGTCCATGCCGATTGACGGATATGTCAGTCAATTTGGCTCAAAAATCCTCCATATATAGAGAAAATGCGAATAAAAGACAACGGTTGGTCGTTTTCCATGAGAAAAAAGATCAGGAAAAATACAGAATAGTGAACGTGCAAATAGGATATATGCGAAAAAATTCAAATTGATTTCGAAAATAATTTTTCCGATAAAAATTCATCTTTTGTAGAAATAAAAAGAAGAAGCCAGTCTAAAATTCCAATTAGAGAATGCAGCGAAACGGATGGATGATATGGAATTTATTTACATTTCAATATGGATTATGGAAAATATCGAAAAGATATGTCAACGATGAGATAATTGACAACAACTCATAAAAGAAACAAAATATACCCAAGATATTGTAGATAGTATAGGAGGAAAAATGTTAGATTGCCAATTATACCTACAGGGTGGTCCGAACTGCATCCGAAGAGTTACTTCAGAAATTATTTGGAATAAATCGAAAAAAAAAATGAAATTTCCACACCCTGTATTTTCGAAACTAAGTATTTTAGGACATACATTTACATGAACTTTTTTACTTATTTTTATCTGCAGAATATGCTGCCGAAGTTTCCGGAATACAATTCGGACCACCCTGTATATGTCCTCGGATTGACTTGACAAGAGAAAAAACCGTTTATGTTTATATTATTATCATTTTGAGAAAAATGTATTCTTTATAATAAAATTTGCTTGCTCTAGAATGTACAGGGTGTCCCATTTTGGTGTGTTTTGCAGTTTCATAAAAAGTAGCATAATGATGTGAAAACCGCTTCTTTGTATCTCTACCTCATAAAACACACGAAAATGGGACACCCTGTACACCCTCCAATGATAATAAATAAACAAAAAATACGAGAAAAAAAAATATTGGCGTATTCTAAAAAAACGAATGCGTATAAATTATATTTAGGGGTGTGAGAACCAGGGACGAGGGGTGAGAGTATAAAAACTGGAAAAAAATCGTAAAAATTATTGGGAGGGGACGAACGAACCAATGCTGACGTTAAAAAAACGTCAAACAAGCGGGAAAAATCGTATTTTTTGTTTAAATTTTTCCCCCATATTTTTCTCACACCCCCAGGATAAAAAATATGGATCAATAAATTTTATTATACAGGGGCCGTCAGTATTTACATAATATACAGATCGTGCAATACTTAATCTCTTTCTTTGTTGATTTTTATTTTATCCCAAAAATAAACAACCTTAAAAAAATAAATGTTTTGCCAAAAAAAAAAAGAATTTTAACATATTCATTTTCATTCTTTCTTCTAAGATTCCAACAATCTTGTGGTCGAATGACCTTAAATGATTGAGATCAATCGAATTTTGACAGTTTTGTTGACATTTGATATCTATATTTTTTTACATTTGAGGCGTCAAGTTGCAAAACCCGCCTTATCAAAAAAAAATGGCCTAATGGCATATATTAATAGTGGACCCTACAATCTACATAAACATAGTCCCAAACTGCAGCAAAAGTCAACTATTCATATATAAAATTCACTACAAATTACGTTACTGCAGCAAAATCCGCCTTATCCACTTATATTTGCTTTTTATTTTGCAAATCCCGCATTTTTTGTAAGCCTTTTACACAAGTATAATATTACTACCGACGACGTCTTAATCTATTTCAAATTCTTACCTAATAAATCAAGTTAGGATGCAAATATCTTACTGTAGCAAAACCCGCCGTATCCGGATTATTTTTGTGTTTTTTCTCTTTAAAAATTAAATATTAATTTTTATTTCTAGGAAAACTAACCGGGATTTTATTTTATTTATTAAAATTAAAATAAAACTGGTACTCCAAATAAACATTCCTTCACCATTTTATCAACATTATTTTTTCATAAAAGAATAAAAAAGCTTCGTTCAAATAAAAACTCATTATAAAAAATTAAAACTAACTATAAATACAAGAGTATATTAGAAAAACTCGATTTTTTAATTTCATAAAATTTCTTTGGGAAGAATTAAGAGATTTCAAGACAAAATGATGAAAATACTCGAGAATAAATAATGAATTCTAATCAAATAAAAAAATAACTCTTAAAATTAAAGTACAAATAAATGTTTCCTTTTCTCACAAAAAAAATATTTCATATTTTAAAAATAATAATTTTACTATACTTATGGAGATATCAAATCATGTCAAAAACACTTTTATAACATAAAAACCCTTAATACGCCTATGACTTCACGTCAGTACCACCAGTACTCACTCAGATAACCAAAAGGGCATAAACATAAACACCATAACCTCAAAATTTTTATCCCAATAACATATTATTTACCTTTTAACAAGCTACTCAAAACTCAAAAGACATTATTATTACTAACAAACAACAATAAATCGAATAAAATGACACTGAAAAGGATAAACAAAGAAAGGCGTCAAAATAAACATAGGCGTCTCTTGGCGTCTACAGGTCGTCGAGTCAAAAAACCACCAAAAAACTACACTTACCGCTGGAATAAAACACAGAACACGTTAAGACACGACCGTCCAGGGCAGGAACGACGGATTCTGAACCGGAACAAACCTGAAAACAAAGGAAAAACGAGGAAAAACAGCTGAAAACTCGGTACAAAACACTGTGTGGCGTAGGCGAAATCTCGAAAACAGGTGGCCGTGGAAAGCGTCTCGACGCGGCGACCGGCGCAAACAACGGCGCTTGCGTCGCGGTGCTGGTCGTACCCAAACGGACGCCTGTCACTTTCAGTCATCCTCCCTTTCAAAGCTCCACTTTTCCCCTGAATTTCCATCCAAGAAAATGCGGAAATATCCTAGAAATTGCATGTCAAAAAGCACGTGGTCGTCTGACAGATAGACATGTGTGTTTGCCGGGCGATCAAAACAAACAAATCCGGATTTGAACGGGTTTTGTGGCGGGAAAAGATTGCAGAAAACTGTAACGCGATGGACTGGTTAGTTTGGAACTTCGTGGATAGATGGCGCAGTTCAACTAAAGTTATTCTCTTTCTCGATATTCTAAATACTAAATTATATGAAGGTTATATTCTGCTTTTTTATGATTCTGTTAAAAAAAACTATAAAAAAACGTAGCACCACAGATAATATGTGTTATCTGTGGTAGCACCAAAGGTAGCACCTAAAAATATAGCTGACCTTAATTTGGAATTATTTTCAGTAAAAAACAAATTATGTTTTTTTCGGTGCTATCAATATTATATTATTTACAAAATTACATTATTATTTTAATTAAACAGAAATAAAACTCTAGATTGACGCTACGATTAAAAAGTGCTTTATTAAAAATTCGGAAAATTAAAAGAGTGTATCCAAGTTTCTTTTTTTTTCGAATTTTCAAATGTTGTAGCTCCATATCATGTTCATACTAAGTTTTATAACATTCCATTAAAATTGTAGAATCAGCAACAATAATAGTTACCTTGTTTAATTCTGCTTATACATATGTATAAGCAATATTGCATTCATTTTCCTGCTACCTTAAGATATTTTTATATCCTTGCACCTAATTTATGTGATTTTCTTAGCATATCTAAAATATAAAAATATATAATTTATTATATTATTAAGATATATTAACAGTTATTTTCCACACCACAAAGCAGAATTATGTAGTATTAAGACATAAAATATATTATAAAAAATATCTTAATATCAAATCCAATACGTTCAAAATTCAACCTTCACCATATTGTCAAGATTTTATTTTGGCATTACAGACAACAATAAATTACAGTAAATTAAAAAAGAAAAATATCAATAAATAATAGAGAAACCAGAGAGTTTAGAAAATACAAGATAAGTTAACAAAATGCTTACCTATTTTTCGTAAGTCCATCGCTTCACAACTGCCTCCCATCTTCAAATTCTTGCAAGAAGGAATATCCAACATAGTTTTAACCTGAAATATTAAAAAAACATTAGTTTTTTGATGAGTGTAATATTATACGCATATAAAATTTTAAGAAAAGATAACAATAAAAGTTAAAAAATAATATAAAGTAATAATTGCTGTTCTCACCGTAGCGAGTAGCTATTTCAAAAACCAAAATAATTTGGCAGCTGCTACTAATATCTTAAAATTTTATCTTCTACTCCTATCCATGTCCAAATATTTATTTCTTTTTTCCATTTTCCAAGATTTTCTTGACTTTATGGTGAAGGAAATTTTATTGGATTCAGATTTTCGATAAATATTCTCTAGAAATTTGATACAAAAAAGAAAAAAGTATTAGTATTAATATAATGACCATAAAAATACAAATATAATTATAAACTAGAATTTTGTCTTGTAATAATAAATATTATGGTTTACCAAAATAACTCACAAATTTGACACATATTTTTTTCATAAAATAATTTCTTGCTTAGATATCCAATATATTTTATTTGTACACTTCAGTTTCGATGCCCAGATGATTTTATCTAAAAAATAAAAAAAAACATATTTAAAAATCTATAAAATTATGAAGCTGTAAGAAGATACTTTCTTACCTGTAGTCATCATCATTTTCAGCTTATTCAACAAACACTACGGTTTAGCCTCCGTCACATATTTAGAAATTCTCTTTGTGGCTAATTTCTTAACATCATGGTCTTCTAGGTCTCTTAATTCCTTGTGGATGCCATGCTGTAATTTTTCTGGCCCATCTATTGTCCATTCTTCTTGCCAGGTATCCTGCCTATTGCCACTTGAGGGATTTGACTCTGTGGATGACATTTATTACCTGGATCTTTTGTCGTATCCACTCTATTCTTTTATGGTCTCTCTTGGTTATTCCCAGCATATTTCGTTCCATTGAGCGTTCTGCGATCTGCAGTTTCCTTATAATGTCCGTTTTAATTGTCCAGGTTTCGCCTGGCTAGCTCATGACTGGTAGCACACATTGGTCGACTGTTTTCTTCTTTAGATAAAGTGGCATTCTGGATTTGAATATGATTGAGTTTCTTCCATGAGTACTCCATGCTAACTTAAGTCTTCTGTTGATTTCTGGTGGCAGAGATCCCGAGCTCTGTATTAGTTGTCCCATATATATTTAATCTTCTACTATTTCTAGTATTGCTATTTATTAGAATGTCTTTTCTGTCTACTGGTTCGTTGTAAGTTACTTTAGTTTTTGCTTGTAGAAGATACATTAATTTTGAGACCTAGTTTACTGCTGGCTGTATTTAGTTTGTTAATTTGGGCTTGTAGTTCTTCAGGACTATTGGCAATTAGGACTATGTCATCAGCGAATCTTAGATTGTTAAGATATTCCTCATCTATTTTTAATCCTTTATTGGTCCAGTCCAGTTGTAGCGGTAAACAGTTTTGGGGATATCGCGATTGGGGGTCTCCCTGTCTTACCTGTAGTATATATCACTATATATTTTTTACACTCAATATTATTTTTCACAATCAAAATCTGTCTGATATCTTCATAGCACTCAACACTACCCTCCCAAAAATTCCACATATAGCGCCCTGAAAAAAAGGATATGCAACAACCAATTCACAAAACCTACAAGTGCAGCTCATACAGGGAACGTTAGTCCCTGAAGAGCTTGGAGTTGAAAAAATTGAAACACTGAACACAAACCAAACCAAACCAGTTCACAATACCTACAAGTGCAGCTCATACAGAGAACGTTAGTCCCTGAAGAGCTTGGAGTTGAAAAAATTGAAACACTGAACACAACTATAACCTTAAAGATATCTACTGAAAATGATTACCTTACCCTGCTGCGGTTCCTTGGAGTCTCATACAAAGACTGATAGTACGAGAGCATCTTGAACTAATGCTATAAAAAGATAAGAGCAACAAAAGAGTATCATATACAGAGAAATTGTGTAGACTTCAATTTGGCTTCGACATGGCTCTCTAATCTGTTGGTTGCATACAGCTTGAAACAAACTTGATGTTTAATCAACATAAATCTATAAAATACAAGAAGAACCATACAATAATCTTCTGAAGGCGTTCTGGAATCAAGTAGGCTGCAGTAGTTCCTGGGAAGCCTCGTACTTACGGCTTATTATAATATTCCCATTCTTGCTACAAACGTAGTAGAACTTCAACCCATGTGAACCTATGAAACACAAGAAACCCACAAAAATATTCTGCAGGCATCGACTAAAACTGGCTGGTGTGGTACCCTCTAAGGCTCGTACCATTACCTGTAAAAAATAGTAACAAAAAAAGACTACCATATACATAGAAATTGTGTAGACCTCAAATTGGCTCCGGCATGACTCTGACCTGTTGTATACAGCTTCAAACAAAGTATATCTTCAACCAGCGCGAACCTATAAGACACAAGAACCCCACAAAAATTATCTGAAGATGTCGACTCAAACTGGAAGCTCATAGAGGTTATCAGTCTTTGTAGAGCGCCAAGACCTACTCTTGTAAGAAAATAAACCAGACTTAGATATGACCCTGTTAAGTTTTGGACCTAAAAAATTTAAACTTCAACTAATGATGACCTCAAAAAGTCCTAAAAATTTCTACTGCGCTACTAAAAACTCGATTCCTTTTTTCTAGGCCCTAGAATCATACCTGAACTTGAATTGAAAATGCAAAAATAAGTTTAAAACGTTTAGACTATTTGTATTGAAAATTTAGTTATTGAAATGCTTAGATATTGGCATGCGTTTAGTCTAAAGTAGTAATAAGGAAAAGAAAGTGAGTTAAAAAATTAGGAAATTATTGAGAGTTACCTACACCTATAAGTTTAATTTAAGAAAATAAAATATCTGTTAGACATTTCTAGATTTCAATTTGACTAAGATAATATGAAGAATGATATTAATTATAGTTAATATTTTTGAAATAGTTTAAATCAGAGAGAATCTAATCCCAAATAACGTTAAAAAGAAAACACTAAAACAATAAAAGACTTGGAATCCTCATTATCTTAGCACCCTCGATTCAACATTACAGAGACTAGAATAGGATGATTATTCTATTAAATTTAGTTTAAAATTACAGAAAATACTAATACTAATAGTGACATAGAAAGTCATAAAAATCTCTACAACACAACTTAAAAAACTTGATTCCTTTTTTCTAGTGCCTAGAATTATATCTGAACTTGAATTGGAAATGTAAAAATAAATTTAGAAGATTTAGACTATTTGTATTAAACATTTAGTTATCAAAATGCTAGATATTGACATGCGTTTACTCTAAAATAGTAATAATTAAATAAAAGTGAGTTAAAAAAATTAAGAAGTTAAAGAAAATTACCTACACCTACATGTTTAATTTAAGAAAATAAAAATAACTGTTAGAGATTTTCTAGATTTTAATTTGACTTAGATAATATAAGGATAATATTAACAGAGCTATAAAAACATCAACTACATTCCTAAGAAAACCGATAGACATAACAACCCAATAAAATGACTGATAGACATAACAACCCAAAGGACCTCTGCTGCTTTCGAGAGGAAAGCATGTTCTTTGCTTCTGTGAGGAGCCTCCACAGAGGACGTTAGCCCCTGCGGATCTCAACCCAACGTGCTTCTGTGAGGACGCTCATACAGGGGACTTTAGCCCCGGTAGAGGTCGACTCAACACACTGCTTCGCTTCTGTGAGGGGCCCCACAGGTGACTTTAGCTCCTGCAGGACCGCGCTCACGCCATCTCCGGGAAAACAAACGAACAACCAAATAAACCAGGAAAAAAAATAAAAAAACTTACGTTTTTTGCAGAGCACTCCCCACGATGTGCATCCCTTGCACAAAAAATATACGCTCACTAACCTGAAACAACAGAAAAAATACGTTAGTTGAAAATAATAAAAAAAGAAATAAATTTTATAACATACCTGATTTTATCTCGTTCCATGCTCTCCATCCTACTGTCCTTTTCCAGAAAATCTTCGTTCCAGGCCTGCACCAATCGTCGTGCCTCCTCAGAAACAGCCTTAAGGAGAAGAGTACCTTAAGGCAACAGTTAGTGAAGAAGGTACTACGACTGAGACCTTGCACATCGGACATCCTAAGGCCACAAAAATTATAGATTTACTACTATAGATAACAAGAAAGATTTAAGGTGTCTTTAGCGAGATAAATCTGTATAGAAAACTCTAGAGATTGAATAATAATAAATTAGGAAAATATGATTTAATTTTAATGATGATATATTAATAATGTGCAAAATTATTTTAAACTATCAAATTTAAGTTTTATGATATTAAACATGAACATAATTAAAAATATTTTGAATGGTTTTAGTATAAACGTACAAGTTTATTAAGAAACATGATACCTACACCTTTTTTTAAATGTAAATGCACTTAGAGAATAATTAAAAAATAGTAAAATGATGATAGAAAAAATAAGATTTAATCCTATGACAATGCCCTACAGAAAACTATTACAGAGACTGGAATAGAGTGATTATTGTTTGAAATTTAGTTTAAAATTACAGAAAATAAAAATTATGTCCTCTAGAATTTTTCGAAAAGAACCTAATCCCAAATAACGCTAAAAAGAGAACAATAAAACAATGGATAACTTGGAATCTCCATTGCCTTAGCACTCTCGATTCAACATTACACAGACTAGAATAGAGTGATTAAATTTAGTTTAAAATTACAGAAAATAAAAATTATATCCTTTATAGGATTTTTAGAAAGAATCTAATTCCAAATAACACTAAACAGAAAACACCAAAATAAGAAAGGCTGTGAGCCTCAATTACCTTAGCACTCCCCATTCAACACTACCGAGACTAGATAAAAATATAAAAAATAATAATTTTTGTTATAAAAATACTTAAAAAAAAGAAAATGATTAATTGAAGATCCGATTTCCTGGCACACATTTCATTAAACTTTGAGCAAAAAAATGTTTTTTAATAATAAATTAAAAATAACAGAGTAAAATCAAATTAGTTTTAAATTATTCTGAGAAATAGACACCTCGAAAAAAATTAAAGATATTATTTCTTGTGATTTTTACAAACGACAAGAAATACAAAGGATTATATATGATTCGAATCAAAGAAAGTATAAACGCAAATAAAAAGTGTGACCTTAAAATGCTGTGAAAAGCCTTAGAACAGCTCCAGAACCACGAACCGACACGACCGTTATAATTATGCTTTAGAAATGGTTCTTCTATATTTCCTCTTCATCGGCATACTGAAACAATGATAAAAAAAAAGATCAGTAAAGATGCCCGCGTCCAGAAAGTCAAAATAAATTCAACTCACCTCCATTCCACATCCTTTCACCGGCGATTCCTGCTACACGGCGTAAAAAGCAGTGTCGTCACACCGCGGGAGCAGAAGAACGCCCCTGGTCCTTCAGGGAGTACGGACGGTCCCTGGAGAATCCCATTTAACGCGTCATCAGGATCGACAGAACCTGGAAATACTTTTTAGTAGCAGGACATCTCACATCAGGCCGACTAAATTCTCAAATAACACGCGCTGCGTACACGATCATAGTTCTGAAAAGATAGAAATATTTCTGAATTAGATTTATGGAAAAGAACTGGACAGGTGTGTCTTCAGTGAATATTTACTAGCTTCAGAAAAACTATCAATAACAATCAATTATACCTACAATATTAAGTACTAATTATTACCTTATATTAAGTTTCTAAATGTTATTTAGTATAAATACAGGCAGATGTAATTTTTCAGTGTTTTAAAGGTTCCTAAACTCTATTTAGATAATTTTATAAAAGATTTATTACATAAGTATTCTTCTATTATATAATATCTTTAAGAAAAACCATATCAAGTGCACTACTATTAGAAATATTCTTCAGAAAATTGATTGACTATAATTTATTCACTTAATATAAGGTGTTTATTTCTAAAATACCATATTCATCAAATTTTTTAAGTCTGAAAATGATTTATTTTAATACAGTACCATAAAAATGAACTATTTATAGCAACAGAATGTATCAAAAAGCAAAACAGAAAGAAACGGAAAGTTTAACAAAAAAAAAGATGGCTTTGAATTTTTTGTTGATCTTGCGCTTCTACCGGTCGCCTTTAGATGGTCGGATTTTTCGAAAAATATCGGGAAATTCGTAGGAAAATAGTCGAACTTACCTTTTCTAAGAATCCAGCTATGACCTGCACATGATTTCCGAGCACAATATACAAGAAAAAGGCACTTTTCCTTAAAAATTCTGCCAGGCAGCCGGCAAAGACCTTACATCGTCAAAGGTCCGTCTAAAAATGGCGAAAATCCACCGAAACGACCAATAATATTGAGTTTTGGCGCTCGGTTTCTGATTTTTGACGCTAGGGAGAGCGCCAACTCGCGCTTTTCTTTTGTTTTACCGATGAAAAATTATGTAATTTTATGACCTAAATTTCAAGTTTAAATGAAAATTTAGCAATATAACGCCTCATTGGAGACAAAACTACTACCAGGGAAATGTAGCTACGTGTTTTCCGAATAAAATGACACTAAACAATAAACGAATAAATCAAAATTCACAAAGATATCGCATTTTAATTACCCTAATGTCCCTACTTGTTAGTATCATAAAAAATAGATTTTTGCCTTAAAAAAGACTTTGAAGCTTTAAAATAGTTAAGGAATTATAGATTATCATTAAATATAGTTAATAAGCAGTTAATTAAGCAGTTTCAGACCTATTAAACCCATATAAATTAAAATAAAATTCAAAAATATGGTGGCGGTTCGGTAGCCTTCAGAATCTTTAATTAATATAACTTTGTTGTTCGATATTTTCCGAAATAATGTAATATTTAGTTAAATAGAGACTTATTACATTTATAAATTATAAAACAAGGCAGTAATACCCCTATTTATAACTTCTACAAGACATTTTCTTAGTCAATGTAATGGCCAAGATGTTTTGCTTTTATTTCACTAACTTTGCTTTGAAATCAATAAAAAAACTCATTTAACATGATCCTGTGCTGTACAAATTATGTATTTGTAGTTTTTTATCAATTTCCAAGCCCCAAAACAAGAATATATAACTTCTACAAGACATTTTCTTAGTCAATGTAATGGCCAAGATTTTTAGCTTTTATTTCACTAATTTTGCCTTGAAATCGATAAAAAACACATTTAACAAGATTCTGTGCCCTATTAATTATGTTTTTGTAGATTTTTAACAATTTCCATCCCCCAAAACAACACAAGAGTAAACAAGAATTTGTTGCCTCTTCGATACAAAATTTGTTCGATGAAAGCTTCAAGCACTATGTGTAAACAGGATGTTTTCAACATCTAATTCAAAAAAAAAACGGGGTATGATTGCTCATGTATTTAAAAAAAAAAGCTCATATAAACATAGGGTCTAAAGTTCTCTCTGTGATCTACAGGGTGTTAAAAATCTAAAAAAAAATATCTTTGTTTTATCTTTTACCCTTTAGAAGGGAGATGGTAGTTAATGTCGTAGAATACATTGCAGTACTTGGTATATTGATATGTGTTGGTATATTTATGATTATTCTTTTCTTAATTTACTGTAATTTCTTTTTTCCTGTAATGCCAAAATAAAATCTTGACAATATGGTGAAGAAAGGTAATTTTTTTTATGTCTTAATACTCCATTATTATGATTTGTAGTGTGGAAAATAACTGTTAAAATATCTTAATTATATAATAAATCATTTATTTTTATATTTTAGATATGCTAAGAAAATTACATAAATTAGGTGTATCTAAGGATATAAAAATCTTAAGGTAGCAGAAAAATTAATACAATATGTATAAGCAGAATTAAACAAGGTAACTATTAATGTTGCTAATTCTACAATTTTAATGGAATGTTATAAAACAGTATGAACATGATATGGAGCTACAGCATTTAAAAATTCAAAAAAAAAGAAGAAACTTGGACACACGACACTAAATTACACTTATTTATTTAAAAAAATATATTTACACAGTACATATAAATTATTTTACATATCCTCTGTACTCCATTTGTATGTCTCTTCCAAACTTGCCGTTCTAGAGTTCTGCACCTCAAACCATTTCTTTTCGTAGCCACTGGAACGATCTACGCCGTCCCATCTAAATCCGGGCCTGATCCCAAAACGATTGGGGGCAGAATCCCCTTCATATTGCTGCTTAACTATAAAAAAAAAACATGTTGTTAAATATACCTGAAATAAAAACTAGAAAATTATAAAACATACCAGGTATTCCTGATTCTATGGTTTTCTTCCTTTTCTTCTGTCTCAGGTATTTTAACATCGGATCTCCTTCTCGTTCTTGCTCTTTTAAGTACTGTTCTAAATCAGCATCATCAGCGTACCTTGCCAAAGGCTTACTCATTTCATGCAGTTCATTTTTCATTTTCTCATTATCATCTTCAACCTGCTTCACACCTTTACCCCATCTATCATATTTTTCCTTGTTTTCTATCTCTCTCTTTCTCTTCCTCTCCTCTTCTTCAACGTCAACAATATCCTTCTTTTTGGTCCTTACAACTGTCGCTGCATTAGCTCCAGAAACTTCAGCTCCCATATTTTTAAACAGTTCATCTTCTTTCTTCTTCAGTTCTATGGTTTCCTTAACTAAATCTCTTGCATTTTGAAGCCCTGCCGTTTTACCATCTAGGGTTTTCTTCAGTTTGGCTTCTTGTTCTTCAGTTTCACCCCATCTGGACTTCTTTTTTCGATGAGGTGGTGAATTGTCATGCCTGGATCTTCTTGGAGGTGACATATCTCGGTTTGAGCCTCTTGATGTCCTTGGAGGAGATGTATCTTCATGTTTCCTTCTTCTTGGAGGAGATATATCTTCATTTTTCCCCCTTCTTGGAGGAGATATGTCCTCATTCCTGCTCCTTCTTGGAGGAGATATATCTACATTTTTTCGTCTTCTTGGAGGAGATATATCTTCATTTTTCCTTCTTCTTGGTGGAGATATGTCTTCTTTCTGTGTTTTTCTTCGAGGTGGTGAAGAATCGTCATCTATATATTGAGGTTTTTTTCTCCTAGGTGGAGATATATCACCATCGTCTTGTCTCCTAGGTGGTGACAACTCTTCCACCTTTATTTTCCTTCTTGGTGGTGAGATATCATCACTACTTTTCTGTTTTCTTTTAGGTGAAAGATCTGTACCTTCTATCTGATCTTCTCCAGATAAAAAATCATCTCTTTCTGGTGTTAAAACTTCTCTTTTAATCCTTACTGGTGACTCAGAGCCTTTTCTTCGTCTAGGAGGTGTGAATTATCTTCGTTTTCAGTTTTAATTTTCAATTTATTACTGGTTTTCTTTGAAATCTTAATACTACCGTCAAATTTCAAGCTGGCAGAATCAACAAGAACATCATCGGAGCCCCCTAAAGGTATCCATAACTTATCTTTGGTCTTTTCATCGATTCTTAAAGAAGGCGGTCTGTCGTCAATTACCGAGACTATTTGAGGTGCATCTTCATTGTCTCCGTTAAGATCTACTTTTATTTCTTCATTTAAACGTACATCTATATCGTCGTCAACGATTACAAAGCTAAAAAATAAAAATATGTTCGAGTTACCTAATTTGTGTATGTTGCAAATAAAAACATACCCTGTGGGTTTTGGTTTGGATTTTTTCTTCTTCTTTTTCTCGCCAGCTTTCTTACCGATACCTAAATATTTCTTCAGGTATTCTTTTTGATTTATTACACTCATTATTTGTTTACAACCTTATTTACAACAATGCTATTTCCACTGTTCTTGTGCTATTTCATGTCAAAATAAGTGAGGTTAGATTAGCTGTCAGCTTTGACATAGAGAGAGAGAGAGTGAGAGAGAAAGAGGAAGAGAGAGAGAAATATTAGGGATGGTGCGGCACTATCGATATAATATTGATAATATTGATATTTGTAATCGGAGGATTGTTTTCTTTTTAGAACTAAGCGAATATTATACGATTATGGCAAAGAGGAGACAAGACACGGCAGTAGACCAGGAAGTCAAATCTTGAACTCTTATTTACATTTGTTGTTCTTGTTTATTTTTGTTGTTGTCTTTGTCTAATAATTAACCATAGATTATAATTGGGTCTCCCTCCTTTTGACAATTTTTTTCACTAGCCAAATGACCTAGATAAGTTCAAGCCACTTAAAAAAAAGGAAGAAGAAGAAAACTATTTCTTATCTGTGGTTGACCATGATTCGAGCTATGCGTTTTAAAAAGAAGAAGAATATTACTTTGAATCTGTGGCTACGGTTCTTTTAAGACCTGAAATACAGAAAAGAAGAAGAGCGCTTGTGGCGCCAATGTGGAACAAGTGAGAAAATTTTGAACTAAAGTGTTTCTAAGGTTGCCAAGATATTAACGAAACCTAAAATGAACTGAACCGTTACAAAATAATGACAAATCTAATAAACATTTAATACAAACGTTGTTTCAGTAGAATAAATACATGTTTTATTTTAGACACACTTATTTAGCAGCAAATAATGACTATTCTGTTTTATATGTGTTCAATCTGGCAACGTTGACATGTTAACAGGAAGGCGTTATGTTACCCCGAGTAATTATCATTTTTGTTTTTATTACCAACATGATAATTAATTATTTGAATGTAATTAACTATTTGAATATTTTTTAATAAATATTTTAATATATTAAACATGTGGTTGATTTATAGCAATCCCTTTACTATAACAAAAGAAATAAATAATAAACTCTTAGAGCTCTTTTTAAATCAATCGAAAATAAATAAAATAGAAACCCAAAATATATTACTGCAAACTAAAAATATAATCGTCATACAAAGACGTTAAGAAATACGATGACCTGATAAACATCTCGGTTCTGTTCAAAATAAAATTTTTGATGACAAAAATGCACACGATTTGGTTGCCCCGTGCGAAATTTTTCAACACCTCGAACAAATTTTTAACACTACAGAGAAACGCTGAATTTTGTCGACTCTAAGACTTTGACATCGTTTTCGAAATTAAAACGCTAATAGCACTAATAGCTTAAAAGATATATCGGAGCGCGCTTGGTACCATTCGATAGGAAATTCAACCCTCTATCTGTACACAAAATTACAACCCCCTGCGACACCCTTTATTTTTTGGGCCAAAAATTTTCTAAGGTTAACAGCGCGCCCCGATATCTTAATTAGTTTTTGAGTAGGTAATTAACGTTTTTGTAAATGAGTCTAACAGTTCGAGCTCGTTGGCCAACGATTTCTTATTTAATTCAGGTGATGAAAATAGTTTTAAAAATGCACATTTTTGGTGCTAGACGTGGCAGTTTTGAGGTAATAGAAATCAAATCTTTATAGAATATCGTATGGTTCTAGTATTTTATTCTAAGTCTATGGGTTCTAGACTATGAAAGAGTTTATATGTTATTAAATTAATATACTAATATTAAAGACTACTAGATTATTAATATTCTTTGATTCAAAATATGGATTCAAATATTCATTTCATTTATTTTTAAATATTTTTTGGCAACCAGTAATACATTAATATTTAATGTTAGATACGTTGCTTTAAATTTAAAGACTATTCAAAGGATTCAAAGAAAACTACTGTAAAACTTTAATAGGATTTATTAAAAAAAGACTACTTCTTTATAAATACAATTAACACATTTAATTATAAATTTACTGTTAGACATATACAGCATAAAGTCCTGCGATTGTCGTTGATTCTTCTATAAAATTTTCTTTCTGATGTATACCGGATGTTCATATTTCCAGTACCTTGCACACATTTCTGAAAAAAATAAAAAGTATTTATACAGGGTGATCCAGTTTTGCGAAAGAGCGCTCCTAATAAGGTCCTTATTTGATATTTTCACTCAGATATTTCCAGAGTCTTACAATATAAGGACAATGGTAGCGTACATTTTTAACTATTATCATATAATTTTCAAAGATATACAGGGCGAATCAAATATATTTTTAAATTAAAGTCAAAAGTGTATAGAGGGAAATATTTCCAACAGAAATAAAGCTATTTTTAAATTTTGTTAGAATATTAAATGGACCGAAAATTTAGTACAAAAACTGCTGAGAAAAAAATACAGCATTCCGTTTAAAAACTACAATTTTAAAGTAAAAATATATTTAACTCACCTTGTATGTTTCCAATTTTTTTTTAAAATGTATGCTACTATTGTCTCCATATTTTATAATAAAAACACATCAATAGAAAACCTAAAATATGGTAGATTTTAAAAAAGAAACACAATATCAGTTAAAATAAATACAAAAAAATACATGCAACGTTAACTTTTTCTGTTAAAAACTATTTTTCTTTAAAATATATATACTGCAAAAGAGCATAAAGATATGTGTGTTTTCTAGCATATTATTTTTCATTTACGTCTTTTCACTATTCACTTTACTGAAAATTGTGACAAATTAAAAAACACACAGAAACAATCGGAAAAAATCAAACTACCTTATACACTGCATCTCTTCATAACAATAATACATTTCTAGCAGTGTAGAACAACCATTAGGAAAAGCAGGTTCGGGAGGTTCAGCATAGAGTCCATGGATTTGAATGATCGAGAGTATAATTTTCTGAAGAGGTATTTGCAGGACTAATTGGAAGGCAACAATCTTGTTGCTCCATTGAAAAGCAGAATACAATCGGCGAGGTTTTCTTATGAAATTCTACACATCTTCCAAAAAGGAAACCTAATTTCTTTCCATTTTTCTTGGTGTATTCTCCTTTCTTAACTCCATAAGAAGCTCTTATCACTGTATTATTACATATCTGTATCTGTAATAAAAAATGTTACAATTTACTGATTGTCTTCACAGATTACACTTAAAAACATGAATAGTAGATAAATAATATTAAAAATTAGTTACCAAGTATATTAGATAGATCGTATACTTTAATTTAACCAGTAGATTTGTTATAAAACTGAAAATAAACGTTTATTTCACTTTTATATAAAGAAATACAAAAAAATATATATTATGAATTATCTAGGGTTAGAATCAAAATTAGTATAAAATTTTATTCATAGATGGCTCTCACTTAAAACTTTTTGGGAACTAAAAATTACAGATTTCTTTAAAAATCCAAGAAAATTTTAACCCAAGTTCAACTACTTAACGTTAGATGGCACTAGCGATATTTTATTTTTTATAGAAATCTATAAATGACCAGTTAAAATATTTAACACATGATGGCGCCACCTATATATATATATATATATATAGTAGAAGCAGAAAACTGTATTTATTTACTTATCGAATTTACCGTATGATGACGCCATAATCGTTTAAACGTTAGTTCCGAAAATTACCGCTAAATAAAAGTAGCGCTGTAATCAATTAAACGCGCTAAAAGAAAAATTTGAATAGACGGGACGCTTTTTAACAAGTAAATGTAAAATTTTCTTGTTATTTCTTCACTGTATACATACATAGTAGCGTAAAATACTGTATGATCGAAAAAAAACGGCGTCCAGTTGGCTTGGAAATGACGATCGATGACATTTCCCATATAATTTTACATATAAAATGACAGCGATCTTCATTTCATAGCCATCGTTGACGCCGTTTTTATTCGACCATATGGTACCAAACTTACCAATTGTAGAAGTTGTTTAATGTTTTTTGTCGTGGATTCATCGTTAGAAGACAATTCTAAAGAATAAATAAATCAGTATTAACATTATACTTTTGTGACGTTTGAAAAAAATCAATATTTATAATTTAGAAAAAAATACAGAGCTTAACATTTCCATGAGCTTGTATCTTTGATTAAAATTTAAATAAAACATACAAACTGGCAACAACTACGAAGTACACAATGAAAAATGTCTTAAAATTATCAAACTACATGAAATTGCAAAATATTTCCTTCAAAAGTCAAAGATAATCAATTCTTAATATGTAGTAGTTCATTTGTACTACAAATGAAAAATGTCTTAAAATTATCAACTAAAATATATTTTAGATATACAATACAAAGATCATTAAAAAAAACAACAATTTGGTAATTTTAAATTTATTTTCCAATGCATACAACATATCCATAATAAAAAACATTCATTTTTCTTTTGATTGATAACTGTTATTTACAAAAAGTCTGCTTTTTGTGCCGTCTCGTTTTTACAAAGGTACGTATAAAAAACTCTTCAAAATCGCAATACTGACGTTTCGAGATTTCAAACGAAAAAAAAAACACAACACAAAGTAAACAGTCTACAAACGACTTAGCCCTAACAAAAAATCGAAATTTTTTATAAGAAATAACTTAATTTAATCACTAAAAAAAGAGAAGAGACATTAAAATTAGGAGCATTCTCATTTGTCTTGATTTTCATACAGGGATAAGTTAAATAAATCTAAGATAAGATGACTTTCTTTTAATTGTACAAATATACGGGGCACCGAATCAGTTTTTTTACAAAATTTCCGCATTTTAAGTTAACCTAAATCTTAAGTAATAAGTAAATCGGAGACAAGTCTCAATATAAATAACTCTAAATCAATTTTTTAGAGTTCATCCTTCGCATGTTCGTCAGTCTGTAGCTCGTCCGGTACGTCGGCGTCTCCGCCATCTTTACCACCAGATTCGACAAATTTTATTAAACCTATAATAAAAGAAAAAATATATATTAAAATTTGTTCATTATACTTTAATAAAAAAAATCAAAATAGTTGATGACGGTTCCAGAAGAACGAAACGTCGTAAGTAATTCATGACGTCACCAGAATGACGAAGCTAAAAAATCAACATTTAATGATAGTAGTTCACTTGAATAACAATGAAAAGTGTCTTAAAATTATCAAAAAACAATTTGTTAATTTTTTTTATATGAAATAATTCTTTATTATAATTCTTTTTAAATGAAATAATTCTTTCTTCTCTAAAATGTGTCAAAAGACAAAAAATCAATGATTAAAATAGTAGTTCATTTGAACCACAATGAAAAATGTTTTAAAAATCATCAAAAAACATTTTTTTTATATGAAATAATTCTTTCTTCTCTAAAATGTGTCAAAACACAAAAAATCAATGATTAAAATACGGTAGTTCATTTAAACCATAACAAAAACTGTGTTAAAATTATCAAGTAACATAGGATATGTTTTTCTAGAGACGGCTGGGGAATGACAATCAATGATAATTTCGGCGAGGTCAAGCTCTAGACGTCTTTTACTAAAACTTTTGATTTAAAACTTGTCAAAAATTAACACTAATTATAGAACGATTAAAAAAGTATAGAACCAGTTAGAACGTTACCAGACAAACAAATGTATTTCAAAAAATTATTTTTTCTGGAATTTGAAACTCCACCATTTAAAAATCATTTTTACTCAACATAAAAATAAGATACAACCTTCTTAAGACCAACTGGCTGGCAACAAGCGCCAATAAAAATAAAGAAGAGTGCGGGCCAAGCAAATGACGTCTAGAGATTGACCTTGCCAAAATTATCATCAATTTTCATTCCCAGCCGTCTTTGACAGCGTTTTCTTTTTTCGATCGTATGGTATCTCCTTCAAAAGACAAAAAATCAACGAGTAATACAGTACGATCGAAAGAAAAAAAAGCGGCGTCAAGTTGGCTTGGAAATGAACGTCAATGACATTCCCCATATAATTTTACATAGCCATCGCTGACGCCGTTTTTTTCAATCGTATTGTAAAAAATAGTTCATAATGCCTACACCTTTGTGGCGAAATAAATTAGTTCATTTGTATCACAATGAAAAATGTCTTAAAAATATCAAACACGAATTATTTCCTTTTTTACTAAAATCCATCCTTCAAAAGACAAGAAAAATTAAAGTTTTTAAAAAAAATATTTAAAATTATCAACTAAACGAGAAAATATTTATTTTTTGAAGTCTTTCCTTCAAGATACAAAATGAACGTTTAATATAAAGTAGTTCATTTGTACCATAATAAAAATGTATTAAAATTATCAAAAATAACATAAAATAATATATTTTTCTTTGCTAAAATCCTACCTTCTAGCGTCCGGTGTCCTAAATATTCAACAACTTCGTTGTTTTCCTTCTTGAAAAGCTTGATAGTAGGATAATTTCTGATTTTGATTGTTTCTAGCCCATTGACTGTAGCATCCAATTTTGCAATTACCACATCTTCATTATCTTTGAAATGTTCACCAAGCTATAAAAAAGAAATTAACTTATTATATATATTTCGACAGTAATGTCTACTTTACCTTGTCATAAATAGGTGCCAGTTGTTTGCAATGGCCACACCAGGGGGCGTAAAACTCAACCAAAACGTCCTTGCTTGTATCCAAAGCCACGCTGTCGAAATTGCTGGACACCAACACTTTAACCTACAGAAAAAAAAAACAAGAATAAAATATACCTCATCAAAAACCAATCAGATCAGAACATCAGAAATCAGAAAAACTAGCAAACATTGAGGGAAGAAACTTACAGGCTCTTTATCCCAATCATCTGGCAAATCTTGGCTGAGCAAATGCTGCTTGATCGTACCGTCCAACACTCCCTGGACGAAAGTTTTCAGGTTATCCGTGGTAATTTCGTCAGTCTCAGGTTTGAATTTAATCATGTCGTCTTCCAAAATGATCAATCTCACGCTGGGAACGTCTTCCTTCTTCATACCGAAGAATTCCAAGATTCTTTGATGGTCTTCGTCGGTGGCGTCGATCACAACAAACAGGACCTTTTCTCTGAAGGATTTGGCAGCGCCGCGAGCCGCATCGGCAACTGCGTTGTAATGTTCATCGCCTAGATCAGAAAAAAAATAAAGTAGTTCAAATGACCCAATGTTTTAAAAGTAGTTCAAACAACCCCAAAGTTTTTCAAAGTAGTTCAAATAACCCAGTATTTTTAATTGATTTTTTACATTGTAACCATTAATATACGTAAAATCTTTTTTTTGGTATTGAGCAAGTTGAAAGAAGCTGATATTCGGTGTCAATTCCAAACAAAACTCACCTTTATTGACGAAAAGCAACAAATGGTGCTTGATTTCGCCGCCGAAAATTTTCTGCGCTGTTTCATGGTTGAAATCGACCAGCAACGGTAAAGAGTTGAATTGGATGAAGGTCTTCAATGCAGCTTCCGTAGTTTCACCATCATATTTCACTTGATTATCATCATCAAACTATAAAAGACAGTAAATACAACATAGAGATAATAAAATACAAAAACCATTTATATGAAAAAGATTAAACAAATTACAAATACTTTTATATAATAATAAATTATAAATTTAGCTAGTAACAAATAAAAAAGGGTTTAGGTGTATTATAATCAAAGTTTCCAATTTTTAAAATAAAGTTACCTTCTTGAACAGCACAATGGTATTGTCCTGCACCTCGTAGTTGCTAAAGACATCGTCGCTGTCAGAAATACCGAAAACGACGTCATCGACGGAACTGGCAACGGCCAAGAAGGTTTTTGCCAGGTCGCTGGATTGGTCCTTGAAGAAACCAACCACCACGATGTTGGCAGAGTCAACAAAAGTCTTGGCTTCATCTACAGAAGGAAGACTAGTTGCCGGAGGTCCGGATTTCTTCAAAAGCCACGCTACGATATCATCGGCCTGTCTACCTCCTAGAAATGACGTTTATGTCAAACACTATGTCTTTTATATTTTCAAAAACCGAAAATTACTTAATAGATATCGATTTTCACTACAGGAAGTGCTAGACAAAACACAAAATTGGATAAAAGCATGTTTATTTTATGGTATGTTCATTAAAAATTGCTTATCAAGTTTTGACTCCCCCTGTATGTACTAAACAAGATTTTCGAATTTTGACAGAGCTTAAAAGTGAAGAGAATTTAATAAAAAAAAACCGTAATATTTCTAATAAAAAAATAAAATCACACTACATATAGGTAAATTAGGTAAATATGTAGGTATTTCATGACAAATCCAATGAGCAATAATTTTCTTTCTTGTTTTTTCAGTGCATATTTATCGCTATAGACTCTTAGACAGACGTTCCTCTACCCATGTTACCAAATTATCACTATCAGCCGATGTTTAAAACTTCCTAATTTTAATCATAATTTCATTCATTTGCTGATAACAAGCATGGTAAACGAATAGTTTGTTTAGAGTAATAAAAATGTCGAAAATAATAAAAGAAAAACTTTACACTTTTTTTATAACACCTATAATTTAATTATTATTTAACATTATGCAAAGTAACTGCACAATTTCGTTGGTTAAAACTGTTAAAAATACCTCATAAATTTTTGCCATAACATCCAAAAATATTTACCCACCAACCAAAGACACTTTCAACTCATAAAATTCTAAAAATAAAGCAGTAAAATATGATTTTCCAGCCAGTGAACAATCATTTCCGAATTTGTTTACATATATTACGTAAAATGTCTTGAACATTATCGTTAAATTATTATTAAACCGTGATAATGACACCAGCTTGCACTTTAATGCACAAAAATTATTCCATAAATAATTCATCGAATATTAAAGGAGATATTAAAGAAAATAGACCGTGAAATTTAAAAAAAGACGTCGTAGTAGTCTTTGAAATGAATATTGATGATGATAATTTCTGTTTAGCATACCTTTATACAGGGTGCACTGTCGGTCGGTCCCATGACAAAAATTAAAAAACGCAAATCTAATATTTTTATCAGCCTCGGTATATACAAGGTGTTTCAAAAATAAAGTAAAATTCGATCGTCCCTATGTTACTACAAATAGGAGTAAAAATAAATTCTACCATTGTCCTAAATATTGCAACATTTTTTTCGTGTACCTTTCAAAAACGACACGAACTTAAAAATCAATTAAATATCTCAAGTTAACAACCCTTTCCCACAATAAGAAACCCTTTTTACCTGAATATTCAACAGGGCTTCCGCTTCTGTAGAATTTCAGCGTCGGGTAACCTCTGACTTTGTGCTCTTCAGCCAATTCCTGATGAGCTGTGGCGTCTACTTTGGCCAGCTTAATGGCCGACCCTTTTTCCGACAAGATTTGAGCAGCTTTTTCGTATTCGGGAGCTAGGGCTTTGCAGTGGCCGCACCAGGGGGCATCTGCACGTCAGAAAAATTAATTAGTTGTTATCAGAAAAACAAAATTTTGGATTAATAATAATAAGTCATTTGATTACTATTTGATTAGTTAAGGGCAAGTCTACCAGTTCATTGCATTTGGGAGATAATAAGCTTTTAAATAAAAAAAACTTCTGTATTAAGACTATATTTTTTATCTCTCCAAAAAAGTCCAGAATAGATTTTAACAAGGCCAAAATTATAATGAAAGAAGCGATAGCCTCTATAAGAAAAATAAAAGAGGCTTTTTTAATACAATCTAATAAAAATATATGTATTGCTCACTCATCTGTAGATGTTAGTAAGGTATGGCAATCTCTTCTTTAATTTTAAAGAACATAACATAAATAAACATAACATACGTAAAAATTGAAAACAAATTAAAAATAATCATACAGAAAGTCTGAAGCTTTTTGGTTTTACCTTATTAAGTAATTGTTATTAGGTAGTAACTGTTAATTTTGAAGTTTAACTTAAGTTTTAACTTAAGTTAAAGTGTTCTCGAATAGTTGCATTTAAACATTTTAAATAGTTTTATTTATCATTTTTTTTATTAACATAAAAAACTAAATAGAGAAAATTCGGGTTTTCCCAAAATATCTTAGAAAATAAACAGATTTTTTTAGATTTAGAAACATTTGCTTGCATCTTGTGAAAAACACAGTAAACAGATATTTTAAGTGCATCTATACTTATCAGATAAGACCAAGATAAAAAATTGGCATCAACACACTTAAATCCGTTCTATAAAGTTTATTTTTAAAATTAATTATTAAAATACAGAATTAAGTGAAGTATTATTGGCAATATTAAAATCAATTTTTAGATGAAAAATTATTTTAGAATCATTTTTGCTACAGATCAAAAGCATGTAAAATATTGCAGTTCTGACACTTTTTTTAAGGAAAAAGAAATTACTTTGTAACTAAATATGTATAAGTACATCCCTCATTAACACTGTTGACATGCAAAAACATATACTATAATATGAAGAAAATCAAACACACTTTTAGAATTAAAGAAAAATCAAGGATACCTATACCTAAAGTATCTCAAGTTAAATACATGATTAGACTAGACAAAGTAATATTTTTTCTATGCCACTTTCGTTCAAGTAAAAGTTTTTATCTATTGTACAGATTTAACAGACTGGCAAATGTGAGGCATCATGCTGCATCAAGAAAGTGAAATGGCAAAAGATGACATTCACATCCTCCGGACTTTCACTTAGTCATAATGACCTGTTGAACATAATTGAAACTCTAAAAATTCGCTAAACATCTTTGTTAATAAATCATCTTATACAAAACTGCAAAACTCTAATGACTAACATGAATGCGGCGATTATTTCACAAGTGGTCAGCTAGATAAAAGACACGTCATATTATTCACATCTATGAAATCATGATGAGCCTATCTAAACTGTACCAAAGGTCAAAAAACTCCAGATCTAAACACATTTTATCTGTTTCTAATTCGGGAACCATATGGATCGTGTTGTATCCCGAAAAGAAATCATTTAATTTCAATAAAAAAAACGTCTATCTATTATTTGATACATAAAAAATGTTTTAAACCTAATTTCACTTAATTTCACGCAAAAATACTAAAAATATACTTATTAATAAACATGCTGGGTATAATTATACAGCAATTAAAACGAGCCTACAGGTTTTTTTCTAGATTTTTTCCGATGGTTTAGAGTAAACAAACTGGTAATGTGGAACATGGGAAATTTTATGACATGAAAACTTCACTTTGAATGCGAATAAAATGAATTATTTTGAAGAATAATATAAATACGACTCACAATTAACGTTAAATAGATATAAATAACTTAATATACCGGTAAAAACATGAAAAAATGTGGTTTGTACTTACAGAATTCGACCAGGATGAATTCATTTTCCGTCGTGGCCTGTTCGAAATTTTCCTTGCTCAAAACCAGTACACCCTCTTCGGTAGGGATTTCCTCGGCCGTGGAAAACGAACCGAACAGGAAAAACACCGCAAAAACAGCTAAAACCCTCATTTTTCCTTGTACTTTCCACTTCGCAAGCCGCAACGAAAAGACGAGTTTGCGGAAATGTCAAAACACGACGACAATTCTCCAAACGTCAATCTTTTCGGTCCCGTTATCTCTCCCACTCGTACACTTTGTATACTCGTTCCCTTGAGATAGAGAGAGAAAGAATGTGATCTGATCGTATTTGAAATGGCCAGGATGCAAATCAACGTGGCATACTTCGTGTGTGGATCCGATTGGTTAAAATTAAACCTAATCTGCAAGTCGGTGTTTAGCGGGAATTCAAATTTGAATAGGCATAAAATTGAATGAATGGTAATTAAAAGATACTTTAAATCTCGTTATGTTTAGAAATTGGAGAGTTTTGTTGGGACAATAGAGATTTAGTATTCTTAGAACTAAATAAAAGCCAAGAAAAATTACAATCAATAATTTATTATTATATTACGTCAACACTAGGTATATTATGGTATTTTCTACATTTTTGTTTTGATAAATATACTTATAAATGTGAGGGTGTAGTAATAAAATATTTATACTCGTTAACAACCAGAAAATGTAATAAATTACATTTTCTAGCGCTGTTAAATTACATTAATAATTACGCTTAATAATATTTACAACAATTTATAGTTTTTTTACAAGTCAATAAAACATTTCCAACTCTTCAGCTAGCTTAAAATTAGTCAAATAAATATATTAACACAATATAATAGAGGAATGCCTTCAATTTTTCATAAAAATAATAATCGATAAAAATACAATTTCACTTATCTTTGTTGTTTTTAAATAAAAAAAAAACGATATGCTTATAATGGGTAATATATAAATTTTAAGTACCTTTCCATAATTACCATGTGTTTATCAAACAAAAAAATGCTTTCCGAGTATTTCACTTGATAAAAGTGCCGAACAGCGCGTATTTTAAAATTAATTTATAAAATAAAAATGCTAAATAAGCTTCATTTGGTAAAAAGTCCTTAAATTAGTATTAAAAAACCAAAAACAATAGTAAATTTGGAGTGAATATTAGAAAAAATCGTTCTGTATTTTTTTAAAAAACTCAAAAAATCGGAAAAATATATATTTTTTTTAAATTAAATATGCCACAATAACTATATAATTTAAAAAGTTTTGTTTTTGGTTTTAAAAGTCAAACAATATTGCACACCGCACGGTATAACAACGAAAAATAAAACTAAAATTATTGTTTAGAAAATAACTTCGAAAAAATTCGAATTATAAAAAGTGGTACATATTAACAAGCAGGATATCACTCAGTTTAAAATTATAATTTTATAGTTCCTATCACGCAAGTTTCTCCAATATGGCGGCACACAATATGTCAACACAAATCAAAATTGGTATTTTTCTGGTTACCATACACACACTGCTACATGTCAAAACGAGAAAAAGTTACGCGAGAAGAACTATATATAAAGAATATGTTTCTTTTGTGGGTTACATACAAAAAACACCAATCAGGCGAGATAGATGGGGCTAAAATTAACGTTACTGGATTAATTTACAAAGCTAGAAGGTCGTCCTCCTTCTTTGGTGGATCTTTTTTCAATGTGCTGGGATTGATTGATCCCGTAGTTGCTGATACTGTCGGTAAATTTTCTGCTGCGGCTGCCCTTTCGGCTAAGAAACGCTCGAAATCGCTAGAAGTGACAGATTCCTCGGGTCCAGTCTAAAAGTAAATCCATCCAACCAATTAGACGGTTACATTTTATCTGAATTGTTTTTTTTCCTAGTTTATTGTTTGTGTAATGCTTTGAATAAAAAGGTTAAGGAAGGAGCACGTCTATGATTTTTTTTGCAAAAAAAGTTGTTGAAAATCGTGCATTTTCTTTTAGATTTTCCTGTATATTTTAAAAGACTTTTTATAACTGCCTGTTCAGTTCTCAATAAAATGCCGTATTGCATTTTGAAAAATTCCGAATACTTCCGAATATATTCGAAAAAAAAACGGAATTTTCAATCACCAGAATATTTTATGCAAAAAAAATAAAAATGCAATACGGCATTTTATTGAGCATCAAATTGCGCAACTTTGCCTTCATTTAACCGATCCTGTAACCGATCCTGTCTTTGAATAAGAAGACTAAGGAAGGAGCATAATGCTATCCATGTATTCATGCATGGTGGGCGGAAAAGCCACCATAAAAGCTCTCTAGGGTGGGGATCCTTGACAGTTCTGTTTGACGATTCATTTGACACATTTGAATTTGATTTGAAATTTTGTGGATTTGTCAGTCTTTACGGAGCTTATTTTATGTTATTTATTATTTATTCTACTACTGATAGCTGTATAAAGGTAGTAAATCTAGATGGAAATTGTGGCAGAACTTAAATTAACAGTGACACTATCGCGATTTATCGAAAAAGACTCTAAAATAGTTGGTTGTGTAGCGTGCGGTAGATCTCGGCAAAAATTGAGTGAAATAATGGAACAACTTTTCGCTAGTAAGTGACTATACATATAATATACATACGTGTAGTAAACCGATCATTTATGAAATTCACTTAAATTAACTAAATTATATATTTTTCTTGCGTTTTAGCTTTTATTTATTACTTGTCAAAGATTAGATGTCAAAGAATTTAGATACGTTAATTTGACTTACCTGCTTCAGTAGCGTATCGGATGTTTGTGTTAATAAATATTGAGTCTACCCCACGTCTACCCTACATCATAGTTTTATATTTTTTAAATAAAATTAGAACGACACTGATAAACCGGAATTTAAGTCGGCCATATTTGAGGCCCATCGCGGTGTACCTAAGATTTTTGATATGCTCCTTCCTTAGTCTTCTTATTCAAAGGATCCTGTATTACGGTTTCCGAAATCCCAATGATGAGCGTAGAATTCGAGCCACCCTGTTCACTGCAAATTTTCCCAAAGTATAATTTGTTAATCTCTGATGTTACCAGGGTTACGGTACTACTTTTAGTACCCCTCAAATTTTAAAAAAAGACTCTCAATTTTTTTTTAAATAAATCAATTTTTTAAAATTTTCAAACTTGAATATCTCGGTTATTTTGGACTTATTTGAAAAACGACAGAGAGAAAATTTGTTTCTTCTTTGGAGATCTACCAGCTCTCAAAATATTTGTATCAAAGGGATCTATGAGGTACAATTCCATTCTCTAATGCATAAATACATGGATAGCATTATGCTCCTTCCTTAATATTTTTATTCAAAGTTTTAATGTTAATTAAATTATTGTTAATAATCCCTACCAGTGTTAACACCACATAACTGAAACTTACATTACACAAGTCTTTAATAATCAACCATAGACTTGTATAAAAGATAGACTAACCGTAAACATCGACTTGTTTTCACCCTGAACCAATCCCTGAACATATTGTAAACAAATCTTTTTTATGCTTGTTTATTTACGGTTTGATTAGACCGCAGACTTGACAGATCGTTTTATCAAGATTTAACAATGTTAAAAATGAATCATCGTAACAGAGATAATAATATATGACGGAAAAAAAGTTATCACAGTAACCTTTGAAAGAAATTACCATACACCATTTAAAAGCCTTCTATGACTCCGGTTTTTTAGCCATACCATAGCATGATTAATTTTTAAACGGTAAATGCTACCTTTTATCTGTATTTTTGTCAAAAAAACATTGTTTTGATATTGAAATAACAATGGAAAAATTGTTTATTATTATTATTACTTAAGTTGTCTTTCTGAATAGCTATACATCAACATAGATTATTAATTTACTATATTAGTTAATTATACTCCAACAAATAATGATTCATTTACATACAATTAACCCCAGTGACTCAATAATACATGCTTTTATACGCAAAAAAAACTCGTCGCAGTAACTTTTTAATTAAAAAACGCTACATAGAAACTTGGTAGTTAATATTTAAACGAAAAAAAAATACTTTCTACAGTATGTCCCCGGATTTTCTTTAAAAGAGGAAAAACTTTTATTGGTATTTTGAAATAAATGCATTATAAAGATTTTTGCTTGTTTTAAAATGGTTAATCCATGGTTAATCTCCTTTATAAGTTTCCATATTTCCATACCGTTTTAGAGAAAATTAAAAAAAAAACATGAAAATCATAAAAATCAAAACGCGTTTCTATGGTAATATAAATTTGTAAAGACAATCCGGGACATATTTTAGAGCAATCTGTAGACTTTTTAAATTAAATTTTAAGTTTTTATTAAGTATGTATATTTATAACAAACGACAGACGATATAATCGATTGTTATTTCGAAGGCTCCTGCAACGACGTTTTTATTTTCGATCATAGGGTATTATAATGTTAAAATATTACGTTACAGTCATATATAGCAACATATATTAATAAAACAAATGCAAAATAAAATTAAGTAAAAAAAGTGTTTTTTTTTCTCCTAAAGTTAGTGCACAATTTAAAACCAAACCTACCACACTATAAAAAACACTTACCGTGTCTCCCAACCAGTTGGCCATTTCATCTAACTCTCTATCTTCGTCAGTCTAAACGGGGATTCACATAAAAAAGTACACAAAAAGCGGTAAGAAAAAATAGAAAAGAAAAAACAACATTTAAATCACTTTAAACAACAATATATTGAGAAAAAATGCAGAACAATGTAGAAAAAAAACAGCAAAAACATTTAATAAATATAAATATGTCAAACAAATACAGTGGGGATAGAAAAAATAACCCTTTTTTTAAAGAATTAAAAAACTGAACTTACCAAAGGTTTTGCTTGGGTTACTGTACTCAAACCACCAGAGATTTGATTTGGATTTATATTGTCCTTGTATGAACTTCCACTAAACAAGGAGAAAAAATACTACTTAAAAAAAATAATGAATGATGAGGTTAGAATAACCAACCTCGTTTTGGACGATTCATACGTCACATTGCGCGACTGGGCGAACATGTCAAACTCGTCACTCGATTTCCCATTGGTTTTTGCAGTTTTCGGTGCATCCCCTAATCCTAAATATCAGCAACAATAAAAAAAACAGTCTTATAATAGATTTAAAGTTAATTTATAACCTAATTTGCTGGCAGCATCGGGTAAATCATCTTCAAAATCGATAAGACTGTCTTCGCTTTTCAATGGGGCCTTTCCCGTGGGACTTTTACTGGCCAATGCAGAATTCGGTGCCGGGATAGCTTTGGCCACCATCTCGGAAGCAGACTGTGGAGCCCTATTTTTTTCCCATCTACTGTACCTAAAAATATAATTAAAAAACGATTAATGAAGAAAATTTGTAATTTTTTATAAAAAAAATACGTACCTTAAAAATAAATTATTCATATCGTCGTTTATCCTTAACAATTCTTCTGTCAAAGTGTCGTTGGTGATTCGGGAGATGAGATCGACGAGTCTGTGCTGCATACTCTGACATACGGCATGTAGTTCCTATAAAATATGCGGGAGATAGTGTAGCACGTTTTAAAAATACTTTCGGAGATATAAAGAGGGCGATTTAGGTCAGTAGTTCATTTGTACCGATCCATTAACTTCAATATTTTCTTTAAAATAAGTAGGAGATAGTATAGCACGTTTTAAAATTTATTTCATAAGTATACAAGGCGATTCCAGCAAGTAGTTCATTTGTACCAACCCTTTTTATTCCAACATTTTCTATAAAATATGTAGGAGATAGTATAGCACGTTTTAAAAATACTTTCATAAGTGTGCATGGCGATTCAAGCGAGTAGTTCATTTGTACCAACCCTTTTTATTCCAATATTTTCTATATAATATATAGGAGATAGTATAGCACGTTTTAAAAATACTTTCATAAGTATGCATGGCGATTCAAGCGAGTAGTTTATTTGTACCAACCCTTTTTATTCCAATATTTTCTATATAATATGTAGGAGATAGTATAGCACGTTTTAAAAATACTTTCATAAGTATGCATGGCGATTCAAGCGAGTAGTTCATTTGTACCAACCCTTTTTATTCCAATATTTTCTATATAATATGTAGGAGATAGTATAGCACGTTTTAAAAATACTTTCATAAGTGTGCATGGCGACTCAAGCGAGTAGTTCATTTGTACCAACCCTTTTTATTCCAATATTTTCTATATAATATGTAGGAGATAGTATAGCACGTTTTAAAAATACTTTCATAAGTATGCATGGCGATTCAAGCGAGTAGTTCATTTGTACCAACCCTTTTTATTCCAATATTTTCTATATAATATGTAGGAGATAGTATAGCACGTTTTAAAAATACTTTCATAAGTGTGCATGGCGATTCAAGCAAGTAGTTCATTTGTACCCACCCTATTTACTCGATTTTTGTTTTCTATAAAAATGTGAAATAGTATGGCACGTTTTAAAAATAATTTCATAAATATACAGGGCCGATTCGAGTAAGTAGTTTATTTGTACCCACCCTATTTATACCAATCTTTTCTATAAAAAATGTGGGAATTAGTATAGCTCTTTCTAAAAATACTTTAATAGATATACAGGGCAATTCAAGCAAGTAGTTCATTTGTACCAACCCTATTTACTCAATATTTTTCTATAAAAATGTGAAATAGTACGGCACGTTTTAAAAACACTTTCATAGATATATACAGGGTGAGTAGTTGATTTGTACCAACTCTAAAAACATTTTACACGTAATACAGACCTGTAAAAGCTCTAGCTCGTCCTGTTGCTCCTGTCCTGGTTTAATTTCGCTCAGCATTTCGCCCAAAACGTTCATGTTGCTCTGAACAACGTCCAGCTCAGACTGAAGCTTGGCTCTTTGCTCGGGAGTCAGAGCACCCCCGCTTGTTGGAGAGCCCATCGAATGGAGTGGACTGGTCGATGGAGATGGACCCGGAACAACTCTGTCCCCTGCTGGTGTGACACTTGTAGAAAGTACACTCTGTACACATATTAAAAAAATATAGTTTAGTGAGCTAAACTCTGTTTTACGACTTGGTGAAGATTTCAACAGAAAAAAGGCAGATGATGTCTATACCAATCTATTTTTTTTTATATGAAATAGTTCTTTTTTATAGATTTTTTGTATGTGGTATTTTATTACACACACCTTTGTTTATTTTGTATTTTGTAAACACACATTTTTTTTCATATTTTAATCATTTGTCACTAAAAATTTAAATACCCTATATTAATTTCCTGCTTTACATTCTAATTGTACCAACTTATTTCTTGATAAAATAAAATAAACTACTTTGAAATTAAAATGACAGACACATCTATGACTGTCAAGGATTTTGTTGGTGGACAAACTATATAAGTATAAAAATTGATACTGACTTTTTGGGGAGTGTGTATGGGAGCCAAACTGTCCAAATCCGTTGGGGGAAATTCTATTCCCTTCGCTAATAAGTCTTTGTACACTACATTGACACCAAGCAGGTCTTGGTCGGCTTGAAAGGCACAGGCCCAACACTGGATCAAACTCAACACTTTTTCCTGAACCGCTGTAGGCGGATCGTTCCTGGGACTTAGTAATTTAACCTATAAAAATATAGAATTTAGAAAATTAAACACATTAGTTCGTAAAAGACATACTAATTCCTGTACAAAATCCTTACTGCACGCCAGAACATGAAATCTTTTACCGCAATTTTTAACACAGGTCTCTAGGATGGTCAATGTGTACATAACCACTGTATAATTTTTTCCAGCATTTTGATTCAATCTCTTTCTAATCGCTTTGATGGCGTCTTTGGGGCCTTCTTCCGTTTCGTTGATGATGTCACATATTTCCATGTTCAAAGCCCAGTTTTCTGAGGCCAGAGTTCCATCGGTTGCTTGTTCTAGAACACATATTGCCACCAACTTATTTCTTCAGATGATAAATTTAATCTAAACTCATCAGCATAATGTTTGCGTTACCTCAACCGGTAAACAAACAGCAATTAGAGCAAAGTGTACATAATTAGCGTGACTAATACTTGAATAGTTGTTTTATTATTGTTTTGAAAGTCTGAAAAAACCTACATACTTATAGACATATTTCCCAATAATAAAAAAAACTGAAGTCATTATACGGATAATTATAGAATAAAAAGGCGTTTAAATATTAAAGTTAATCTCCTTTAAAATGATAAACCATAAAATACAATACCGATATAAACAAATCCGAGAACAAATAGAAAAATATGACTCGACGAATTCGTAAAGTTTTTCGATTAGGGATAAGTAATTAAGGAAACACTCACCAATTTTACTACCAACAGGGGTGGAAAAAGGGTTTCCAATAAGGGCGTTTTGTAGAAACGACATTTTATCGCGTATTTTTCCACAATATTTTTAATCAAAACGCAAATTTTTCACAATTAATTTGACGTTTAATTGTCACTGTCAGGTGGGAACAACATCGGAGTGACTAGTCGTCCGCTAAACGGATGAATAAAATAAATTAATTATTGTTTCGGTCGTACCGGGTCGTACGTCGTTTCATCTCAAAACTTAAGAGACTATTTATGACGAACTAATTAATTATTGTTATGAGGGTACAAATGTAATTATCGGTAATAAAAATAGCATAATCTTCAGCATTTTTTCGAATTGTTATTATTTGACCGGACGCGTTTAATTTTTTTATTCGTCCGTTTCGGCGGACGAGTAGACACTTGAAGTCATTTGACAGGTGTAAAATGTTTTGGAATTTTTTTTATACATTTATTTAAATATTGCAGTAAAACTTATCTTAAAATCCTTTTAAAACATGACTGTGGACCTCAGTAAAAACAATGCTGCCTTAAAAGAAGCCTGGAAGGACGTTTTAAACGACAAAACCGACACAAATTGGTAAGTTTTTAGGTTATCTCTTCGAATTTTTCTTTACAGGTGTTTTTTAGGGCTCTTTTCGGGTACGAGGGACAAACTAACACACTGAAGCTCGTTAGCAAAGGCGATGGAGGTATTAACGAACTTCGGGAAGACCTGAATTCGGGGAAAGTCATGTACGCCTTTGTTAAACTGTACGACCCTAAAACTTCACTTGATAAGTGTGTTCTGATCAACTGGCAAGGCGAGGGGGCGAATACAGTAAGAAAAGGAATTTCAGCAAATCATTTACGCGATATAGAACGATTTTTTACTGGAGCTCACTTGACTTACAATGCCAGAAACGAGGATGAAGTTGATGAAGATTTGTTGGTGGATAAACTCAAAAAAGTGGGATCGGAATATAGTTTCAAAATGAAAGTTGAGCCTTTTGAGCCTGCTGTCCCTGTTGGTAAATAATATCTACATTATGCTTTAGTTTCAGACTATTTATAAGAGTTTTTAGGCACAAGATATCAGAAAGTTAATGCAGTCAAAGAGATTAACTCACAAGAAAGAGACAAGTTTTGGAAAAAGGAAGAAGAAGAGGAGAAAAAACGCTTAGAGGAGGAAAAGAAACGAAAAAAGGAAGAATCATTGAAGCTAGAACTAGAAATTGCACAAAGAGAAGGTAACTTTTACTACATTTAAAAAAGAAAAGATCTTTGCTATGTGATTATTATTACTTCAGAAATCGAAACGAAAAAACGAGACCATGAGTCGGAATTGAGAAACGAAAAGATCGATCAAATCAAGAAAATAGAACAAGAAAGCACTAAACAAGAGACTGAAAAACATACCGCTCCTGAGAAGCCTGTCAGGGCTTCAATACTAAAAGCTCAAAGCAACTTTGAAAACAATTCAAACCCTACAATTTCTAAATCGTAAGTAATTTGGTATTTAACATTTTAAAATTTTCTTTTTTATGATATTTTTTTGTGTTTAAGACTTTCTCCTGAGCCAACAAATGCCGAACAAGCTTTAAGTGACGATGATGGTGACCAGTTTGCTACAATCAAAAGGTAATCAAGTTTTAGCTTAATATCTACAGAGTGTATGTAGATTACGTAGGTTAATTGAAACCTTATATACAGTTACACAGGATACACATACAGTTATACAGGATGAGACAAAATTAACATTGAACATTGGTCATTTTTAAAAGCAAGTTAGTCTTTTATTTTAAATGGAACACCCAGTATATTATTCCGATATTCAATGGAGAATTCATAACTCTTCAAAGTAGTGTTGAGGTTGCCTACCTATTAGACAAAGAATTTCCTAGATATTTTCATTCTTATGATTTTAGTTTTTTTAGAGATATTTTTGTGTTTTTTAGGTCTCCGAAAGACCTAAACAATCATAAGACTGCCGAAGAAACAACGACGCCAGTCGAAGAGAACGTAGCAGCCCCCAAAACATCCCCATTTAATGAACAAACTGTTCAGATGTTAGAACAAGATTTTGTCGACGAGTATATTTATGGAATTAAGGATTCTTACAAAGCTAGAGCTTTGTATGACTATCAAGCAGGTTAGAGATTAGTTTTTTTTTATAAATTTGTGGGTTTTAATTTTTTTTCTTGTAGCTGATGATACAGAAATATCTTTCGATCCTGGTGACATAATAACTAACATACAGAAGGTCGACGAGGGTTGGTGGCAGGGCTTGGCACCAGATGGCATCACTTATGGACTTTTCCCGGCCAACTATGTCGAATTAATCGAGTGAAACTCTTTTAAACAATTGGAAAATTGCTGTGAGAAAAAAAAATAATCAACAAAAAAATCAGAAAATTGTAAAAAATTTAGGTTGTTTATTTCCTTCAGGATAAATTTATTTTAGGAATTTTTACAATGACTGAATTATTTTATTTTATTGTTTTAAGTATTATTATAATTGCTTGATATTTTTAAAGCCTAAACCGCTTATATTATTGCTTTATTCCAAAAGAAATTATAGTATTATATATAAAAAGAAACATTTTTTATGACAAATATTTATAGGATGTTACAATTTATATGGCATAGTAATTTTATCACGTTATAGAAATGTATTATTATAACCCTTTATTAGCTTTTCTCTTAAGATATAATCGACAATTTAACAAAGCTGTGTTCTTTTCAGAAAAAAGCCAATGGTTTTATACATTGACTTTTTATTTTCACATATTTAATAAAATTACATCAAATGAATTGAGTTTTATTCCTACGATTCCAAAAATTTTAAAAACGCCGCTGTTTAAAAAAGACAAGGCCCGATTATTTTTGTATTACTGGTTGCATAAATTTAAAAAATCTCAGAGATAAGGAGGTAGGGAGAATAATGGTGCATGCTTTCTATAAGGGAAGGTCAGAAATTAATAGTGATCATAAACACAGAATATCTAGCTACGCGTAGCTAGAAGTTTCTTTAGTGCTATCTTTGGTTAATCTTAAAAATATCACGTAGTTAATTAAACTACTATAGTAATATAATATAACAGTCCATATTATAAATAAATAATGATCTTTTTATCAAGACGAGGAAACAGAAAATACTGTGAATAGTATATAATTACTATAAACAATCATTAAAGTCAATTTTTATCACACTTCAGCGCACTGGGCCTGTGTAACTGTATATATCTTATTTTATTTCACTGTTTAAAAGCTTATAAATAAGAATTTCTTATTAGTTATTTTATTTACTTATTTTATGTTAATTTTCTGTTTAAATCCACCATTATTATTAAAATGTTAGAGAGCAAGGAACCATAATTGAAATATTAAACGAAAAATAAAATTGACTAAATTAACTACATACCCTTGTTTATATATTCTTACATACATAACACATAAAATCATAAAATCAGTTCAAGGAGGAATACAAAAGCCGTTTATATTCGTTTACGAGTTCAAAAAATCACAAAGAATTAGATGACAAGCCAAACTAATCCCGTAAAACCTGCGTAAAACCTAGAAATTCGAAATAACAATAGGTCAAAAAAAGCTATCGGCTATTATTATTACTGATTTGATCTCCCCTGTAGACCCACGGGCAAAAATCAAAAATCCTGTTTTTCCTACCTCTATATCTCTGGTAAAGACTGATTATTTATTGTATTACTGGTTGCATAAATTTGAAAAACTTCAATGAGAGACATTTAAAAATTAAAAAACTTTTTAATTATTTTAATAATAACAGTTTATTCGAAAACAACCAAATATAATAATTTTGTACAACTACAATTCACATTTAATAAGGCATTCATTAAATGTTACGTTATCGATTTTAAACTCCCACACAATAGTAAAATATTAATCACAGTAAACTGCGCTACATTACTTCAAATTGAAAAACACGAAAACACGATAAATATAAACACGAAACCGCAAAGTACTTGACTAAAACCTATGGAGGGCTTTTAGACTCCATACTAAAACCATATGTAAACAGCAGATAACCGACTTTTTTATTGCCATTTTCCTAATTATTCAAAATATTTTGCCTACGTGACGTTCGCAACGTGACGTCTTTCGCACGTATCGCGAGAGCGACAGAGAAAAACACGCGAACAGAGAGAGACGGCCAATTTGAACCAAAATAAACCTGAAAGAAAAGTTCGTGAGCTCTCTTCAAGCTTTTTCGCACGTTTATTTATATTTCGTCGCTTGTAAGAGGCAAACGAGTTGTGTGAATTGATCGTACCGTTTTTATTACGTGTATTATTTTATATTAATTCGAAATAAACTAAAATAACGTAAAAATGTGTGAAGAGAAACAGTGGAACAGCACTCAGTTGAGGCGATATGATCTGGAACTTGAGCAAATTCCCAGGCTGTATTATACCGATCCAAAAGTCGACGAATTGATCAGCCTAAATGTAAATATCAAGTTTATTATTAGTATTTCTCGATTACTCCCCAACCTAACTTAACTCGAATGTTTTAATGGAATTAAATGCATGATTTTTCGGTGTTTCAAAGTTTCAAGATGTTTTATGTTTCAGAAACCAGTGGTAATAACTGGTTCGAATATCATCAAGACGGCTAAGGCTAACTGGACCCCCGAATACTTGGAGCAGAATATAGGCAACGCTGGACATACAGTAATGTTGTCCAAAACGCACAAATTCAAGTAAGGAATTCATATTCTTTATTTACTAATTAAATAATCAAGAATCGCATAATACTTGGTTGGTTCCAAGAACTAATATGATTCGTCATGTTTGAGTAAACAAAACATGACTAAAACAACAAGTGATTTATTTGTTTTTATGTCAGTAATTAGTCAAATAGGATTCATAGAAAAACACTAATTTTTAATTGTTCTTTGATTGTTTTATAGATATTTCGATGAATCAAAAGTCTTAAACAAAAATAACCCGCATGGAATTGAATTTACACCACCCACAAGGAAAACCAAAATGAAAATTGGCGAATTTATGAGGAAACTACGTGAATGGAAACCTGGAAATGATAGGTGTGTTTTTTTTTAATATCAATGGTTTTAAGGTTTTATATTTTAATTTTTTTCTAGGCTATATTTACAACAACCCTTAAATAACACAATAGGAGACTTACTAGTGAGGGATTTCATCAATTTCGACTGGGAATACATTAATAATAAGCAAAGTAAACATAATTGGGGTCCTTTAACGTCAAATTTAATATTAATATCACAGGTACAGTATTGCAATTTAAGATAAAATAATAATATACTTACTAGAGTTATTACTAGGAAGGTAATGTTACTCCGTGTCATTATGATGAACAACAGAACTTCTTTGGCCAGGCTTACGGCTATAAAAGATGCATTTTATTCCCTCCAAGCGATTTTGAGTGTTTGTATCCTCATCCGGTTTATCATCCGCATGACAGACAAAGTATGGTAAGTTTGGCTCATTTGAAAATCTCTTTAACTTGTTATTTACCATATTAATGCAAGTTTTTGAATTGAACAAGTATGCAACCAAGAATACGCCGAATTCTATGAAATTTAAAGTATTATTGGTTTTATAACTTGCGACGTATTAACAAGCCATAATAAATCCAGTTAAATTCATAAACTGTTAAATCAATTTATTCGTTTTATTTTTAGGTAGACTTTGACAAGCCCGACTACACTAGATTTCCTAGATTTAAATTCGCCAAAGGTTATGAAACTGTAGTGGAACCCGGGGACGTACTGTACATTCCTATTTATTGGTGGCATCATATTGAATCTCTGATGAGGGGCGGACCAACTATATCTGTCAATTTTTGGTATAAAGTAAGTCAGTTTTGTGTATAACGACATATTAAAATATCGATATTTGTATAATATCTCTAGAGTAAAGATTTTTTAATGATGATAAAAATTTTGTAGCATTTTGCAGAAAAAAATAATGGTAGAGATGTTGAAGAAGTATCGACATAAAATATCGATATTTTTTAATATCGATATTTTATGATATGGATACTTCTTGTACATCACTACTATTTTTTCAAAAAAATTACTGACAGTTACAATTTTGTAGGATTTTTTCAAAAAAAATAATAGGGAAGTCTCTAAGTGTCGATATATTGTTTTACATCGATTCATTACTATATGGACAATTCTTGCGCATCCTTACTATATTTTTTTTGGGCATTTTTTACATATTTTCTACTGATTATCAAAATTTTGTAGCATTTTTTAAAAATTATTTTAGGGATGACGAAAAATATCGATATAGGCAAATATCGATATTTTTAATATCGATATTTTATTATGTCGATACTTCTTGCACATCCTTAGTATACTTTTTTTGCAGAAACTTTTATAGATTTTTTACTGATAATCACAATTTAGGAGAATTTAGAGATTATCGAGATATTTAAATATTGATATTTTATTCTCGATACTTCTTGTACATCCCTACAAATTTTTTGGAGAAATTTTATATTATACTGATCATCAAAAATTTATAGCATTTCAAAAGGAAACAGTAAGGATGCCAAAAAGTATCGACATATTCCAATATCGATATTTGTGTATCGATATTTGAATATATCGATATTTTTTGCACATCCCTATTTTTTGTTGCAGTCATGCTAAAATGTTGTTTCTTTTTTACAGGTCGGGCCCACAAGTCTGGAATACCCTTTGAAGGACCATCAAAAAGTGTCCATCACCCGAAACGTGGAGAAAATGTTACTGGAAGTTCTACAAGATCCTAAAGAAGTGGGACCTCTATTAAGATCGATGGTTCTGGGACGGTACACCGAATAATACCACGTCCCGTATGGAAAACCTTCAATAATTCAGACTGTGATTTTTTGAAATATAAGAGACAATGTGGGAAAAATCTTAGCCAGTATAAAATTCGTACCTACTCAGCGACAGTGCTTAAAATTATCATATTTATGGTCTTTTATCGTGGTTATCCCAGAGAAATAAGTAAACATAGATGGTTTTTTAGAAACCATCTATGTTTACTTATTTTTCTGAAAACCCTTGTCATCGAGATGAAAACAATAATATGTATATATTAGACTGATTATTTTTACTGTATCTTATTTAATTTTATCTTATACTTATATAGCCAGAAACCTACTAGATTTAGGTCTAAAATTGACTACTATTAGCTTATATTTAAGTAAGATTTGTCCAGTGTGTACTTAACTAACATAAAAAAGACTGAATTATAAAATATTTTAAGTTTTTTTTTTTGTTACAGTAAATATAATTTTTCAGATGAATTATCTAAAAACAAAAAAGAAGATTTAACCAAAAATAACTACTCACTTTTTTGTAAATATATTTATATT